ACAATCAGTTTCATCGAAGAAAACAATGCTGGAAATGCCGCAGCAGCCCTCATGGCTGGTCTTGCTCCCAAAACCAAGGTGATAAGCACATAGTTGTCAGACATTAACTGCTTGGTTCAGTTGTTGGAATTATTCCTATTAACAGTTTTTCAATCCCTTCATGTGGAAAAATGTAGGTTCTCAGAGATGGCAGATGGACTGAGCAGGAAGCTGCAATTTTGGTTCCTGGAGACATTATCAGCATTAAATTGGGAGATATAATTCCCGCTGATGCCCGTCTTCTTGAGGGTGATCCTTTAAAGGTTGATCAATCTGCCCTTACTGGGGAGTCTCTTCCTGTTACTAAGAACCCTTCAGATGAAGTGTTTTCAGGCTCAACGTGTAAGCAGGGTGAAATTGAAGCGGTTGTTATTGCCACTGGTGTGCATACCTTTTTTGGTAAAGCTGCTCATCTGGTGGACAGCACCAATCAAGTTGGACATTTCCAAAAAGTTCTGACTGCCATTGGTAACTTCTGCATTTGCTCAATTGCTGTTGGAATCATTGTTGAACTTATAGTCATGTACCCAATACAGAATCGCAAGTACAGAGATGGAATTGATAACTTATTGGTTCTCTTGATTGGAGGAATTCCCATTGCTATGCCAACTGTTTTATCAGTCACCATGGCTATTGGTTCGCACAGGCTTTCTCAACAGGGCGCAATTACCAAGAGAATGACAGCCATTGAGGAAATGGCAGGCATGGATGTTCTCTGCAGTGACAAGACTGGAACTCTGACCCTGAACAAGCTGACCGTTGACAGGAGTCTAATTGAAGTGTTTGCAAAGGGTGTGGACAAAGAGTATGTTATCCTTCTTGCTGCTAGAGCGTCAAGGACTGAAAATCAGGATGCTATTGATGCTGCAATTGTAGGAATGCTTGCAGACCCTAAGGAGGTATAAGCTTTTAATGCCTACTTTCTCCTTTGTTGTCTTATTCTAATCTTTCACAGAGTCACAGGTTAGCCCATAATAAATTTAATAATTGGGCAGGCACGAGCCGGTATTAGAGAGGTTCATTTCTTTCCATTCAACCCTGTGGACAAGAGGACTGCCCTGACATACATAGATTCTGATGGAAACTGGCACCGAGCTAGCAAAGGTGCACCTGAGCAGGTAAATACTGCTTTTCTTCGTATCAACACCTGGAGCATGAAACATTGAGGGAGAGAACTGCTAATTCTTTTTTTTTTTTTACTTTTTGTGCCTTATAACAGATATTAACCCTATGCAATTGCAAGGAGGATGTAAAGAGAAAGGTGCACTCTGTGATTGATAAGTTTGCTGAACGTGGGCTTCGGTCTTTAGCTGTTGCAAGACAGGTCCTTGATTTGATGATCTTATCTACTTCTGTTTCTTGTTTAACTGAAAAATCTATAATATCAATGTTAACTCAATGATTCTTGTACAGGAAGTACCTGAGAAAACAAAAGAGAGTCCAGGTGGGCCATGGCAGTTTGTTGGATTGCTGCCTCTTTTTGATCCTCCCAGGCATGACAGTGCTGAAACCATTAGAAGAGCGCTCAACCTTGGCGTGAATGTCAAGATGATTACTGGTAATAATTCTTAAACTGACTTCAACTTTCTTTTGAAAAATAATCATTGCTTATATATTGTATGACCTTTCTTGATGCACAGGGGATCAGCTTGCTATCGCCAAGGAAACTGGTCGCAGGCTTGGAATGGGAACTAACATGTATCCATCTTCGTCATTGCTTGGCCAAGACAAGGATGCTTCTATTGCAGCCCTCCCTGTAGATGAGCTGATTGAAAAGGCTGATGGATTTGCTGGAGTTTTCCCAGGTGATTTTTGGTTTCTGTTATGGGAACTTCTAAAATTCCACTCAATTTATACTTTCTAGGAGCCATTTTCCATGGTCATATAAATATTGTTTAACTATTCTGCATTCTCGAACATCCATGCTCCAAGGTGATTAATGGCAGGATATTTATGAATTTTTGCCGTACTGTTTGTTGCATGCTTCTTTGATAGAACATGCAATAGTTAATAGCACCACCTTCGTTTCTCTTTTTGTTTCTCAAATTTGTAACTATGCTTCCTTGTTTTTGACGCCTCTTTTGTATTTTAACAGAACACAAGTACGAAATTGTTAAGCGGCTACAGGAGAGGAAGCACATCTGTGGAATGACAGGGGATGGTGTTAATGATGCACCAGCTTTGAAGAAGGCAGATATTGGAATTGCTGTTGCTGATGCTACTGATGCTGCCCGAGGTGCTTCTGACATCGTCCTTACTGAACCTGGGCTTAGTGTGATTATTAGTGCAGTCCTGACCAGCAGAGCCATCTTCCAAAGGATGAAGAACTACACTGTGAGTTGCAGTTTCTCCTATTTTTGCTACTGCATTTCAAACATTGTGGCATTCTATTAATAATCCAAGCTTACTGAATGTTGTGTTTTCTCTTTTGCAGATATATGCAGTCTCAATTACAATCCGTATTGTAGTGAGTACCAAAATTCATTTTAGATTAGCATAAATTATTGTCAAGTTGTTCCTGATCTTTATTTTAATCTCTCTGTTTGTTTATAATATGGCAGTTTGGCTTCATGTTTATCGCCTTAATATGGAAATATGACTTTGCCCCATTCATGGTTCTAATTATTGCCATCCTAAACGATGGTGAGCTCTTGGGCAAACTTTTGTTTTTTTATTTTTTATTTTTTAATATTAACCAGTTTGTTTTAACGTTTTACCATTTTTTATGCCATAAGCATTTGTCTGATTGTGTGAATCAATTTGCGTCTAGGGACAATCATGACAATATCAAAAGATCGAGTGAAACCATCTCCACAGCCAGATAGCTGGAAACTTAAAGAGATATTTTCCACTGGTATTGTTCTTGGAGGTTACTTGGCCCTAATGACAGTGTTGTTTTTCTGGGCTATGAAAGATACCGACTTCTTCTCGGTAAGAAAATACTCCATCTATATCTGCGAGAAAGGCAGACACAGTTAGCTTTGACTTCTTGATCTCTCGTATATTTATGTATTTATCCATCCAGGACAAGTTCGGGGTAAGATCATTGCGATACAAAGATCGTGAAATGATGGCAGCTTTATACTTGCAAGTGAGTATTGTGAGCCAGGCCCTCATTTTTGTCACAAGATCTCGCAGCTGGTCCTTTGTTGAACGTCCTGGACTTCTTCTTGTCGGTGCATTCATAGTTGCTCAGCTGGTGAGGCTTAATAAAATTATCCTGGTTAAATGAACTCATTATGAGATGTATTTTTTTCCCCAAATAATGATTCTATTTTAACTAACGCACAGATAGCAACGTTGATAGCCGTTTATGCGAACTGGGGTTTTGCTCGTATAGAGGGGTGTGGGTGGGGATGGGCTGGCGTAATCTGGCTATATAGTGTGGTTACTTATGTGCCACTTGATCTCCTCAAATTTGCAATTCGCTACATTCTGAGCGGCAAGGCCTGGGATAATCTTTTGGAGAACAAGGTGCGTTTTCCTTTTTTGGGTAAAATGGAATCCTGAGTGAAATTACTTCTTCTACTGATCATTCGTTTTTCTTCTTAAAACAGACTGCCTTTACAACAAAGAAAGACTACGGAAAAGAAGAGAGAGAAGCCCAATGGGCCACAGCTCAGAGGACACTTCATGGCCTTCAACCACCCGAAACCAACAACTTCTTTGGTGAAAAGAGTGGTTACAGGGAGCTTTCAGAGATCGCAGAGCAAGCCAAGCGACGGGCGGAGGTTGCAAGGTTAGCAAGCAGTTTTCATTTTGCATATATTAAATACGGTCTCATTTTTCTTTTAATATTTCTGACAAAGGAAACGTTGATTTTTGCAGGCTGAGGGAGCTAAATACCCTTAAGGGGCATGTTGAGTCGGTGGTGAAGCTTAAGGGACTTGACATTGACACAATTCAACAACATTACACAGTTTAATGAAGTTACAGGTCTCGAAAGAGGGAAAAGAAGAAAGACATGATGACGAACAATGCCTAATTGAAAATTTTCTCTAGATTAGAATGATATTTACTCTTGCTATAATTTGTGATACTTTTTGTTTTTTTGGGTTCGCTTTTGTGGACAGAGGAGAGTAATTCTCCTTCAAGAGCTATAAGTATTAGTTATATAATTTTACTCAGTTTTTCGTTGGTGAACAACTTTCTATCTATCTTTAATTTTACGGGCTTTCCGTCATTTTTCGGCACCCGCATGTACAAGTTAGAGCTCAGAAAACAGAAAGCATCCTGCTAAGAGGTGTTCTTTCCTCTGCCCACTTATATAATATAAATAGTTTAAAATTATTGTACATGTTTAAAGAAATAATTAATTTTTTTAAATATAATAAAACAAGGGTAATATGATTTTTTATTTCACAACATTAAATTTTCTCTGCTCCAAAATATAAATCACTTAATATTTTTGCATGGAATTAAAGAAGCAAGGGTAATTAAAGATAATTAGTATATCCATATAAATAGGAGCAAAATTGAAAAAAATCATTTATTACTTTTAAAATGACTTTATATCTTAGGACGGGAAGAATATTATCTACTATAAAAGTAAAATTAGATAAAAATCATTTATTGATCCTCAAAATATTTCATATATTTTGAGACAATCACCTTTTGAAACGGAGAAAGTAATAAATTGTCTTGATTTCCCTATAGGATACACAGGTACCATGTAACTGCAAACCCTCCTTCTTTGATTATTATTTATTTTTATTTTTTTGGGTGCGCTTCACTTCATCTAAATTTGTTAAGATAGTGATGACAAGGAAATTTCACTGCAAACACAAAAATTAAAATATTAAAATGTTAGAAAATTGTTTTATCATGTTAAAATGATCAAACATTCTTTATTGTTGTTTTGTATATCCATCAATTTCACCTCAGATTAAAATGAGCATATATGCAGTAATGACAGAACACTACAGTTCAGAAGTTGTAAATGAAATATTCAATAGGCAACATATGCGAAGAATAAATCATACTGCTCTGCAATCTGATAAACCAAGTTTGTTTACAATCTTGCATATGGCATACCAATTTACAACTCACTAATAAGAGTCATAATTAACAAAGGGGATCTTGTGTGCTGGGTAATTGTTGTATGCTACTACATCCTATTGTGCTAAGAGCTTTGTACATTGAACGTTTGCTGCAAAAATAAAGCAGCATCAAGTTGAGCTCGTATCCTGAAATATTTGCCGAATGGCTTGAGGCAGATTCAGTACAATCTCTGCATAAGCTGTGACAGAGACAGAGTATGACACATTATTATAAGAAAAGAAAACGAATACAAAAGGCAAGCAGTCATAAGAATGGCAAAGCGGTAATACTCCATAAAGGTAGTCATATATTAGAATGTTACCAAAATATATTACATCCTCTACTGTGTATGTTGACAATCATGTCTTGCAATGGGGAATGAAAAACTAATTATCATAAAAGGAAAGACCTTATCATGAGTCGACCTTGCTCTTAATTCACTGGAATCACAAAAATATTCAGAGATAAGAAAACATAGGCTCAGAATTATGTGTAGGTGTAAGTACTTAGGGAGAGACTATGGATCATCAATAAAATCCAATTCTTGTTTCTGTGACAAAAACCTTCATTTTACTGCACCTTGCCAATGCATGACGACCTTATTAAGATTACTTTGACTTTTGACTAAGAAGCTTATATGCCCCTAAGTACAGATTGAATTCTATTCATATTTGTGTGTTAGTTTTTTGTTCTTTTACTAGGTGAGTAGGAGAAAACATAAAGAAAGGAAAAACCAGAGGGAAGCATCATCTAATGGAAAGCTCCACCTCGACAATAGAAACTACACATTTGAGAGAAAGTAACACCTTCAGGTAAACTCATTGTTCGTAAAGCATCCTCTGCATATGATAAGCGAGCTGGACTTGGGAGACTTCCCACTGCTCCATTTTTCTTTGTTGGCCATGTGAACACTCTGACTCTAGTTGGCAGTACACAGATCAGATCTGCATATCTAAGACTGACTGTTACCTTGCTGCAACAAGAAATATATAGTAAAAAATCAGTTTAAAAGTGCATAATGATATATGTATCTGATGTACAAAATACAGTACTTTTCCCATAGCTTATATAATATTATTGCTCATTACATGTTTAGATTTTATAAGTGAAAATATGGAAGGTAAAATTTAAACCAAAATGAAGCAGGAGTCATTAAAACCTAGTGATGGGAATCAAATAAAAGTTTGCAGAATGACCATTCCAGTAATTGTTAGCAGAGCTAAGGTCCAAAGGAACAATTTAGACAAAAATGAATTGTGACGAATGCAGTGCCTCAAAAGGACTAACCAATCAAAATCATCTAATACGAATTCTATCATATGGTATGGAAGGCTATGGTACAGCTCTCCAATTTGATTTCCATACAACTCCTTAATAAGCCGAACCTGCACAAGAATATGAAAGAAAGTGAGACAGAAAATAATCACAGCCTATGCATGTAAAACTACTTTTCCAATGGAACTAGGAAAACAAATTAATCCTTCAAATTGTAAAACAACTTTTCCAATGGAACTAGGAAAGCAAATTAAGTCTTCAACAATTTCCAACAGCCAAGAATTATCCATCAAAGAAATATTTCCATCTTACGCTGAAAAACTAACTTAAATTCATCAAGGAAAGAATCCCTCCATTGTTTAGGCAATTGAACTAAGAGAAGAAAATTCCTGAAGGAGATTGCCCAAGAAAAATATAAGCCTCCAAAACCAAGACTGCCACTGTCTCCTTCCCTATATGAACTAGTCATGTCAGATGCAAAAGGCTGAGACGAACTATCTTACTAAAGTTTTTTGAAGTTCAAGAAACTGATAAAATCAACCTTGATTAATACAAACTAACTGAAAGGGTAATTCAATCTCGGACAATATTATTAGATTTTTCCATATTTCTGTTATTTCCTTTTATCTATATGTTTCTGGGATCCTGATGAGAGCCAGTAGTTTGGGGCTAATGTCGATCTATGTTTTACAGGGTTAGGTAAACAAACAAATCAAAAAAAATTATATCTCCAGTAAAAACAAAATAAGGGCCCTCTATAACTTTTAGATCTAGCAGGGCTCAATGAACTACACCTAAAGATTCACAAACAAATATCTCAAGTTGAAAATAGTCACTTGCAACAGCGAAAAGAGTGGACAAAACGTTAAATTCATTTCTGCAAATATTCAAAGATCCATGGCTTTAAGAAATCCACTGAAAGACTTGGATTTTGAAAAAAAGTTGTGTTTGGTAAACAGGGATCAATTTGTCAGCAAAAGCATCTCAAATAGAACAACCTAAGTGTTAATCGAAGCATGGCCTGGACTATTAATATGAACAATAACATCATACCTGTTCCCTTCTATCAACATAAGCCTGCAGTAGTTCTCCGACATAATCTATAAATCTCTGGAAGTAAATCATTAAGCAACATTAAGATAGCTCAAACATTACAGCAACATCAAACAAAAAAAAAAAAAAGACATGTTAGGAAAACCAACCTTACCATAGCATTGGAAGAAAGAAGATCATTTTCTGCTTCTCGAATTGGCAGAAAGAAAGGAATTGTGTGTTCAAGGACAGTCATCTTTTCAAGAAAGGACTTGCTCTCAAGCACACAATGATACAGTTCACAAGGTTCTCCTGAAAAAAATAGAGAAATAGATAAATTGGCTTTCCAATTGCATAAACCAATGGATGACATCTGCCAAAGGAACAAATGAATAAAACAATTTAACAGAACTTTTTATATGGAAAGTTTTATGCATCATATTATGTTAAAATTTCAAAGTTTAACAAGAAATCATTTTGTAAATCATAGTGCAGCATTCCTCTTGAAAGGAAAAATGAAAAAGTACAAGGTAAGCTCTGAGCTTAAATATTGAAAACTTTTAAATGTAAGGCCAGAGCTCAAGTATTCAAAAAAAGAAGTTTAATTTAGGTTTTTTCAGTAAATATTTTTTAGAAGACTACAAAAAGCACAAGAGAATCCAGCTATCCAGCTATTCGATGATCTAAAATAAAATGGCTATTGACCTCAAGCCTGTTGTCACAGAACACTGAGCAGTAATAACAAGCATGGCCTAAACATTAGACGCTAATTGCTACATATAGACAACATGGATTATGGCAGAACTATACTTGTAACGGATGCTATAGGATGTACATCAAAATACCTGCAAAAGATGTCTCATATTGAATGCCAATTCTTGCCCCTTCTAAACAACAAATCACCTGTTCACATAAAGCTAATATTCAATACATGACTTGCCTCAAAAAATCTGTCAATCAGAACCTATATTAACTATTATTGACATCCTTTCCATGAGTCACTCTGGGTCCTAACAATAACTTCAAACGTAACTGTCTTTTTCCAAATTAATATTTGTCATGCAGGCATCAAATGAGCAACATTAGTTAACATGCAGCTGGAGAAAGTTTTTTGTCCCAATCCCCAAGTGCAATTCACAAAGAGAACCTGCTTCTAGGAAAGATTACCTTATTTCCAGCTCTATATGTAATTTTATCCTCAGAGTTATGACCTAGCACATTCAAATCCCCTGTCATTGCCTTTCTGTCAGCCTCCATGTGAACCTGATGAAATGGCAAGATAGTATATTAAACATTTCATCAATACCCAAATAACATAAAGTAGATAGAAAGAAAAGACAGTGAATAGTGTTGCCAAATGTATAAAGACAAATATTGTAAATTTTAAGATAGATATTGATTCACTCATATATTTCAAAATTGGATTATGATGAGATGATAACCATCCAACTACTGCAAAGTATTCAATGAAGTTATACCCTCTCTCTTATTGTAGCTAATAGCCCATCATTCCAATCTTCACCATCCAAATAAACCTCTGCGAGAAAAAAATAAGTCAAAATAAATAAAAAAGCATTTTACAAACAATAAATTAAGGTATGAGAATGATTAAATTGGATGCTAATGAATAAAAGGTGAGGAAGAGGGAAACAGAGACAGATCATCCACACTTAGAACACGAGTTACAAAGCTATAGTGAACCCTGATGTGCTGTTAGTTTAAGCAGCTTTAATGCATGCTACATGTGCCAAAAATTACCTTGAGTTTGAGATGCTCGTGCAGCTTCAAATTCCTTCTGTAGACGCTCAAATATCATCTTATCAGAATCCCTAATGAGATCAATAAGATAAACAAGTAAGATTCCCATGAAAAACAACCTTTTATACTTGCATTGCAATCATTGCAGAACCAAAGTATAGCCCAAGAAAGATATGCAGCATACAACAACATGAGCACATAAAACCCAAAGCTTTCCACAATTATAGGAAATTATAAAAATTTGAAGCACATTAATGGACAAGGTGAATGATGTCTTCAGAAGTCAAAGAAAGTTATACCTGGAAAGACGCTCTGCCAATTCGGCATGCCTCTTGATGATATTTGCAACTGTCAAAGAGAAAAATAAGCTTCTAAAAGTACCAAAGACAAAACCATATCAGAAAAATCCATAACAAAGAGACAAGTAGGGAACAACTGATGCGTACATCTAGCTCGTGTGGTCTCCAACCGAATATCTTCCTCTTGCAAAAAGCTCTGTGATACAATAGAACATTACTATAATCAACAAAAGGAGGGAAATTCAATTTGTTGAAATAAATAATAGTAACTGTAGGCAATTTATAAGTTCATCAAGTTGGAATTTCCATAATCAGTAATAAGAAACAAAATGCAAGAATAATACCACTTCTCCCATTAGCTGGAATGGACGCATCGCAATCAGTTCAAGTTGCTGCATCTCCACACACATTATTCATCAGTTTTCATGTACAGATTGCCATTTACTCAACTTATTCGGAAAAAAAAAAAAAGAAATAGAGATTATCAGCAATAAACACGCAAAGATGAGTAAATTGAGAGATTGCTTAAAAAATTGAACAATTGTAATACACAACCGAATCTTGAGCAGAGCAGCAAAATATAAATAGAGATGAATAATAAAATGGCGGTAAAAAACGAAAAAAAAAAAGGAAATAAATTGACCTTGCGAGAAGAGTCCCCGGCAAAGGGATTCTTCTTTTGCCTCTTCTTCAGCGACTCCTCCGTTTCGCTGTCCATTGATGCTCTGAAATTGAGAGGTGGAATTAGAAGAATTAAGACACAGATGAAGGAAGAAGGACAGAAAATAGTTGGTTACAAACAGCGACACTGTGAACGGATTCACAATTAGATTTTAGGGTTATACGAATCGGGTGGAGCTCCGGATCCGAGACTTTTTTTTTTTATTTTTCTTTTTAATTTTACCATATGTGAATATATTGATTTGAAGAAATATTAGCGCGCACATATGAACATGTATTGCAAAATTATATATTCGTTTGTATTTAATTTATAAACATTATTAAAAAATAGATAATTAAATGAGTTTTATAAGCTAGATATATAAATTCACATCTTACACTTTATAATAAAAATATTTGCTATTTCAAACTTTTCGAGATTCCATAAATTTATTAAATTTATAAACATTGCACCTCTTTAAATCTTTTAGAATTATGGTATAATGTTAACCAAATTGCTAAATTCATGAGCATAATGAATTTCTCAAATGGTGTGCATTATCATAAAAATTTTATTTGTTAAATACATAAGTGAAGTTATATAGTTTAGCATTTTTTATTATATATCATAATAAAATATGATTTTTCGTAGTTTATGTAATAAAAGATAATTTCAAATGAAATAAATAGAACAAAATTTTTTTTTTCTATAAATTTCTTTCCTCATCACCAATTGATTGGTTCTCTCTCTTTTTTTTTATTGTATCTTAATAAGATATTACTAAAAGAAATAAAATAAAAATATTTACGTAGAGTATAGTTTAAATAAAAATGTATTTTTTTATTTTCTATTTTTTTATTTATTATTTACTACTTATATTATATATTTAATTATAATATATCCCTCTATCTTGAGAGAGTATAGGGGGCATAATAAAAAAATGACAAAAGATATTTTATTTACATCTAATCTTAAGAGAGGGGCCATGTCCCTCCTTTTTCATTATTGATTCTGTAGCTGATTTTAGATGATGCAAATTGATTATTTTCCTTAAAAAATATAAATTTGAACATTTATTAACCAAATGGAAAAGAAAATATATTTAAGTTAAATTTTTTAAACTCTATTCGTTTCTAAAAAATAATTTACCTTAAAAGGGAAAATTTCCTTTTATTTATTTTCTATTATTTGATTAAAATATTAAAAATTAATTAAAAATATCAAATTTATAATTTACAAAAATATTTAAATTTTATAAATTATAAAAATATTTAAAATTTCTAAGCTTTTAAAATTTTATTATTAAATATGAAAACAAAATGCATAAAAAAGATAAATATCTTATTTATCCATTATATTGCAACTTTGGAAATTATAATAAATGTACATATTATTTAAAATTTTACAATTTAAATCTCAAGAGATACTTTTGATTCAATTTTGATTGTATTCGAATTTGAGTTATTTACCTATCATCTCAGTGAAAATACCAGCATGACCACATTTGTTTACTACTATCTTGTTCTTTTAATTATAAAATAGCTTTGGAGTTTTATTATTTAAATTATAACCTTATTTTTAAACATATCCCTCACAATATTATCTGTCATATTGTAATTAAAAAATAATAATCTATCAATAGTGAAAATATTGTATTTTTAGCAATCACTATGTGATGGTTTTTATTGATGGAAATGAGTAATTCTATCTAAATATTTCATAAATTCACATAAAATATTTTCTTGATTGAATAAAAATAAACCACGATCGTGAAACCAATAAATTTATTGTACTCTTGAATTACCATTTTGTAAGAGAGAAAAATTATATAATTCTATAATTTTAATTACTTTTTATTGTCAATGAAATTTAAATCACTTAATTTTACTTCTAAAATTACTCTTTAAGTTTTTGAATTTTATTTTTTTATCAAAAAATGGAATGTGAATTTTATGAATTTTAAATTCGATAAACCTAACACTTTATTTTTCTTTTATTTCACTTTTAAGTTTTATTAACTTTCGACACCAATATATTTCTAAAAGAATTTGACATCATTAATTATTTTTTAAAATATATAATTTCCTTTTTGAAATATTTTGTATAATCTCTTGCATCAATATTACACGTAAATACGATTAACCATCAATTGCACATAAATTAAAAATTTATTTGTGCAACTATTAAAAGATAAAAAAAAATATTTTTGCAATTATTAAAAGATTAATTATGCATTAATAAAACTATTTATAATATATATAATATCTAGATTGAAATCTCACAAATGTAAAAAAAAAAAAAAAAAATATATATCATTATATCTAGATTGAAATCTTCACCAAAATGGGTTAAAAAAAAAAAAAAAAAAATTACATTCAAAGCGCAAGGGAAAGGGGAAATGTAAAAAAAAATTAAAAAAAAAAAAAAGAGGTTAGTAGTAAAAAATAATAAAAACATGAAAAACTACGAAAAACAAGAAATTTAGAAAAAAAAAAAAAAAAACGGAAAAACCAAGAAATCGAGAAATTGCAAGAGGCGAGCAAAGAAGAAAAGAGAAAAGAGAGAAGAAATAAAAAAAGAAAAAAAGAAAAAAAAAAAAAAAAAAAAAAAGAGGTTTTTAGTAGTAAAAAATAATTAAAAACATGAAAAACATACGAAAAACAAGGGAAATTTTAGAAAAAAAAAAAACGGAAAACCAAGAAATCGAGAAATTGCAAGAGGCGAGCAAAGAAAGAAAAGAGAAAAGAGAGAAGAAATAAAAAAGAAAAAAGAAAAACGAAGAAATAAATAAAAAGAAAAGAAAAGTAATAGCGGGCAGGCAGGCAGGGAGGGAGGGATCGAGCTACACAAACAAAGCAAAGCTGAAAGCTCTCTCTATTACAAATCAGCAACACCGAAATTATGCACTTGAAAACAGATTAAAGAAAATAAAGAGTGTAGAAATAGAAATAAAGCGCGAAGAATCGAAATCCCAAAGTGAGTTGGAGCCTCTCGAATCGATTTCTCTGCAATTGGTGAAGTTGGTTAAGGTCAGAGCTCCATAAATCTCTCAACCTTAATCTCACACTCTTCACTTTAACTTTTCAGTCTTTCATTGCGCTTCTTTTCTCTGCAATTCGAATTTTATCTGCAATTGGTGCTCTGTTTTCAACTCAATCTCCCAGCTTCACTGATCTCTCATTTCAACTTCAAATTTCTATATTTGAAGTTTCGAGCTCTTAAATTCTTTGTCAAAATTTTCAAGCCGGGTGGGGGTGGGTGGCGAGTTTTATCATTGCAGTAATATACTTTTACGGTTCGTGCAGTTACGTGCCATCAAGTTTGCTGATTCAGACTTAGGGTTTTAATTTATTATGTGTTCGAATCAATTTGGCTTGATTTCGGGGTTTAGAATAAGCTTAATGACTGAGTTTGATCTCTAGGGTTTTGGCGTTTTGGCAAAAATGAGATTTGAATTTGCATTGTATGATTTCTGGGCGGGTGAATTTTGGGTCGTTTGGAAACCGAAATAACTATATTCTGGTTGGTAATTGACGTTTTCACCATTCTGTGCATACTATTTCAAGTCTGTTTATTTTGAGATACACGGAGCTTGCAGTTCACTTGCACTGAATTGATATGCGGGTTGGTGAATTTGTGCTTGTTTGGAGGCGAGTATAACAGTATTTTGTAGTGCTACCGGGTGTCTAGGGGTCTTGTAGTTCTGTTGGATGGTGGATAAATCTGTTGGTTGAGAAATGCAACCTCAGCAGAGCTCCAGAATTGATTTGGTTGAATTGAAAGCTCAGATAGTGAAGAAGGTTGGAATTGAGAGGTTCAAGAAGTATTTTTATTGCTTGAATAGGTTTTTGAGTCAGAAGCTGAGCAAGAGTGACTTCGACAAGTCATGTTTTCGCTTGCTTGGAAGGGAGAATCTTCCCCTGCACAATCAGCTTATCCGCTCCATATTGAAGAATGCATGTCAGGCCAAGACCCCACCACCTGTTTACGAGGCGGGTCCCGCAAAATCTGCAATACAAATAGCAAAAAGCTCTCCAGGTAGAGAAGATGGGCAAGAACAAAGTGGATCCCTTCTTCCAAATCAGAATCAAAATGTGTCCATTTGGTCGAATGGGGTTTTGTCAATGTCCCCACGGAAGATTAGGTCAGGGATGCGTGATCGTAAGCCCAGAGATAGGCCTAGCCCACTTGGTCCCACTGGGAAAGTTGAATGTGTCTCGCATCAATCAACTGGTGCAGAAGATAGTGGCAGTAAGGTTATTATGGATAATGGAGAATTGCCTCCATATGATTATCAGAGACAAGTACAGAATCTTCAAGCAGTTGCTGACCAACCTGAGAATGAAAGGGAAGGGTCAGTTCAACGGCTCTTTGAAAAACCAACGCCGCATAGCAAAGACCAGACAGCTTTTGTGGAAGATGGGGAAGAAGTTGAGCAAGCAAACCGCTTGAGTTTATCTAGAAGTCCACTGCTTGCACCTCTTGGGATTCCATTTTATTCAGCTAGTGTGGGTTGTGCTCGCAAAGCTGCACCAACAACAACTAGTGGTGATTTCATCAGCTATTATGACAGTGGTGGATTGTCTGACACAGAAAGGCTGAGGAGACGCATGGAACACATTGCAGCTGCACAGGGTGTCAGTGGGGTTTCGGTAGAATGTGCAAATACTCTGAATAATATGTTGGATGTGTACTTGAAAGGGTTGATCAGGTCTTGTGTTCAGTTGGTGGTAGCAAGGTCTCCACATGATCCAAGAAAGCACATCATCCATAAGCAACAAGTTCAGGGCAAGGTTATCAATGGCATGTGGCCAAGTAATCACTTACACATACAGAATAGTAGTGGATCAATGGAAGTTATGCATGAACAGAGACCACGTTGTTCAATATCTTTGCTTGATTTTAAGGTTGCCATGGAGCTAAATCCACAGCAGCTTGGAGAAGATTGGCCATTGCTGCTGGAGAAAATCTGCATGCATGCATTTGAGGATTGAAACATTCGCATGAAGATTTGCTGTGCCAAAGCTGTAATTGGGTGTCGCTGTCCCGGTTCAAAACCCTTGACAACTGTTGTTGGAAGTGTTGATGATCCAGTTCTATTCTTCCATGAAGAACCAGGTAGCTCCCCCTTCACATGAAGCTCCGCCCTTGCAAGATGAAATTCTGGGTTTGAGCATGCAAGTGTCTTTTTTTCCTCCTGCAGACCCTATATGAATCAGGAAATTAGTTAACAGCAACCAGGCAAGGGAAACTTTTAAATAGAATGCCCATGATTAGTTGCTCTGTTGTATGATAAGCATGTGTTGGCTGAATCATGCCTTCGCTACAGATCTGAAGTTCATCTGTACAATATACAGCCAATGAAGAGGAAATCTATGACAGTTTTGCAGGGATACTCTTATGTAGCTTGGGGAAAGGTAAAATCACTGGTGTAAGAGCTGCAGTGTTGCTCTTTATGTATTTTTAAATCTGAGAATTGATTGAAATTCCAATATTAATAACACATTGACATCTACTGACTTGTCTGTATGCTTTGAATAAGAAATTGCGTCTAAATGACACCTAAATAATCTAGCTGCTGAGTTTATTACTGCATCATCTTGTGTTCTCAACGAGACTGGCTTTTGAGCTCTTAATTATCATTATAAAAAGTTTATTACTGCTACTTTTCCCTATTACTGTGACAAAGTAAATATAGAGTTTTCACTGTGGCTAGAAAGAGTCAAGTATAGCTGCGTATGAATTGAAAATTTTGACAATCTCAAATAGGCTATTTGCACAACTTAGGAATAACACTGAGGAATATTTTGATAAGCATATTAATGATGAACACTGTAAAGATGGTAAATAATTTGTTGATAATTTAAATGAGAAAAGCAATTAATAGTATGGCCAAAACTGAGTTCAGATTGGTACAGAATTTTTCTATTGATTTGAATTCTCTGGGACTAGGTTTATTATGAGTCACATTTTAGTATACCTAAATCCTCACGCACATTGTAGAATCAAGCTGCAATTCAGAATATTCATGTGAGATTTTGTATAAGGCAACTGATCAATTCATCAAATTTGCACGGTGCTGGCTAACAATTTGCCATGACTGCTCGGATCACAGGGATAAAAGTTTTTCAGGCATTTGAATTTGTAAGGACATATATTACTCTACCCATTCTCTTCATGAAGAGACCTAAACCCCCTTTTGAATAATTCTCTGCAGATTATGTCAGTTTCTCTTTGCTAGTCTTTGGGGCAATGCTTATTGGTACGACAGAAAGTACTGGTGTCATTACAACTATTTCGCATTGTCCTCTGAAGGGGCAGGTCTTATGATTAGTTGTAGGAATTTCAGAATTGAACTGGCCTGTTCTTACCAAATGCAAAGGCAGATTTATGAAGAGTGCACGGGTGGTAATAATGATTAATTTATTTTCTCATGTTATATTTCTATATTTTTATTGTGCGTCATGAATGATGCAGGATGTTCTTTACTTTGTGGATTCCATGCTATGTCATTATTTTGGTACCTCTTGAAAACCCTGGAAAGAGAAAATTATGTGCATCTAAACATTAGAAATGATGTTAGAGCTTAGTCATTATTAGTCATTAGAATATGTTTGCAATGTATGTGGGAATTAATGGCAAGCCATATCTTGTCTAAAGGATAGTTCAAAATGATGTTGTGCCCTGGTTTCATTTATCAGATATGGATAAGATAGCAAGTACATACCATAAACGCTCCTATTTTGTTACTTGAAGAAGATAAAAATGAAAGTGGTTGTTCTTGAAGATGCAGGAGAAGTAGACCAGTCCATTTACTTGAGGTTTATTGCTATTGGCATCACATTTTGCTCAGTTCATTTAAGTGCTTGTCCACAAAGCATTGCCTGTTGCATGCAGCAGTGAATTGACAATTTCTATGAATCGTATCACAGGTGAGAATTGCTTTTTGAGCTGCCATTTGCAGTGATTGGCACATAGATATCAACTGTGCTTTCCATAATCAGATGACTCCAGAACATCCATTGGCTCAATTTAAAGCTGATTGCTCGTGTGTGCATAAGGAGCTGCCATTTATTTTGTTTTATTGCAACTCACAATTCGCTTGCTATCTTGGAAGTTTTCATTAATTGGTGTTACACTGTCTTCTGTATTTTTTAACCATTATTCATGTAAAAAAAAATGGCTTATTACTTTCTTGAATTGATTATTAGAAACTATTGTTTTTATCATAATTTATAACAATTGCTATTTGAGGTGTTTCTTTTATAGCATTCTCGTTAAAACTCTATGGAGGTGATTCAACCTTTCTTAATAGCTAATACCGTTGGACAAACAGACAAAAACACCCAGCTTCCACAACGCACACACAAATCTTGTTCACTTGCATGATTAATCAGTTAGTTGGAAGAATTCTGACTATGAAGTCAAGACCTGAAGGCATGCGTTTTCTAATTCATGATATGGAACTGAACAATTTGACTTCTAGTGAAAGGAGCTATGCACTATTAGGGACATTCTCATTGATTCTGAGGACTTCAATTTTTGAACCATTGCAACTCTTTGTGCCACATAGCCAGCAGACAATATATGTACTTTTGAGGTCAGTCTTGCTAATTGCTTTCATGCTGACCCTCAGTATCAATTTATCAGGGAAGCAGAACTTATGCTTCTTAAGTTTCTTTTTGCATTATTTTGTAATAATATACAGGGAGGAAGCCATGGCAGATCAAATTAGGATGATAGCTGAAGGTTATGAATTTATATTTATGGTTATGTTACCATTGCCTATCAGGGACCAGACTCTTAGTTCAGCTTTTTCTCCAGTTTCCTTGGATATCCCCTCATCTGGCAGGAAATTTGAGAAAGTGAAAGATTCATTGTAGCTGTTGCTTCTTTTGCTGATGTGCACAAAGATGTAGGTTTAGATCTATTTATGGGATTCTGGTGTTTTGCTTTCCCTTTTGGAGCAAATGGGGATGCAGATCATTATCCTATAGGTCCATGCTATGGAAGACATGAGGAAAGAACAAATTTCATTTTATCCTGATTCCTGCAGTTGATGCAGCATTGTTATGGAAGAGCTGAAAATTTTTGCTCCTTGTTTGGGAAACCAGAAACTGGATTTGAAGCAGATGAGAGGGTGGAAATGAGAGAGGAAAGCCGCCTTACCTTGTATGGAAGGCAGACCAAAAATGAGGGGAAGGGAAACTGCATGTAACCTTTTGTCAAACATTGTGCCTGGTTCACTGGGCTGCACCAAACGCTTGCATGCAAGTCCGGAGTGGACACGATGGTCAGCTCCCATTCTTTATAAACTTTCTTTCTAAAGAATTTTCTCTGCATTTTCTTTCATTGCATCAAAACAAATGTTGTAAAAAAAAGATTCTCTTTTTCTAATTTCCGTCTTCCATTGTTTCTTTGCACCGTGTCTACTTACTGAACATGGTGTTGATTCCAGTTGATTTTATGTTGTTAGAAGAAAAACAAATGCTTTGCTAGAAAAGAACCTTGGATCAGTCAAAGTATGCTACTATAAATCTGGCATGAGAGCTTTTACAGAGTTAGCAATTGATGGAGGAAGATGTGCAGGAACAAAAAGCTTTCTCATTTCAACATCATGAAATTGCACATGATGGATGCAAAATGGAAAATAAAGGCAACAACAAAAAATGGGGAAGATTTCTGTTATTTTGTACTGGTACTTTCCATTATTTCCTCTGTCGTCGGATTGATTGGTCTTTACATTTGAAGTTAATACAGCTATTTTTGTGGAAATGAAAAACCATTTTTCTCCAAGTAATGCCTACTTATAGAGATTGAATGTCTATCTCTGGTTGCTTTAATTCAAAGTTGAAGATGTTGCCCTTTCGCGGGTGGCGTTATGAATTACTCTATTTGTTTATCAAATGAAGAATTTGTGGCAGGTTAAATTTTTGTGGTAAAATTTTGTCTGTCATCTAGCCGCCATGCATCCCAGTCATTATCGCCATTTATTAATGATCTTGTTTTGTTTAGTTTCTTAACAGGAACTCAGGTCACCTTATGTATATATATTGGCGGAATTCATATTTAATAGGCAACTTTTACAGCAAAATTTAACCCTTATTGTTAGCATTTGGCTGATGGTGTTGTCAAAAGCGGGAGCTCTTTCTTCTATCTCTAATTGAGGAGCTGAAATTGATGTTGACTCAAACCTAAACAAACATACCCCCTTTATTTTCCAACACGCCAGAACCGATATAAAGCAGATGGATGGGGCTCAATTGTCTCTCTTTTTCTCTACTTTCCATTTCTGGAGTGGTTTTGAGGGGGTCCCTGCAGGGCAGAATTGGTGGTTTATTGAACCAGCAAGGCATTCTTTTCTACTCACTTCATATATATATATATTTATACACACGTAATAATGTATGATAATAAAACATATATCAAGGGTGTGAAGATTCCCACTGTCTATCCAAAGAATGCTTATTAGCGGATAGATTCATTAGGCTTTATGAAGATTACTTTTAGAGTAACCCCATTTCTTCCTTCCTTTGGACCTACTACTACCATTTTATGTGACATCGCATTTCTTTTTCTAAATTGTAGAGAGTAATCAATCCTTCTTTTTATGTGTCACAACTCAAATTATTATTAGGAGTATCATTTCGACGTACGCATTTCAGGCTGAACTTACTTGACGCATGCAATTATCTTAGCCAATAAATTGTCCCTTACCACACCACCAAGGCACCCCAAAATACCATGGCAACAAGCAAATTGCATGTTTTCCATCAACAAAGGGAAAAATGAATTCAGTGTGTATCTAACAAGAGACGGCAGCAACTTTTGAGTAATTTCATTCAGATTCTGTTCTATAGAGCAACATGATTTCTTGTCGCAAAGGCAATAGTGCCCACGTTTATTAGTCTATTGACATCAAAGAGAATTGGTATGTACATAAAAGAAGAAGATGCCTTTTTTTCTTTGAAAAAATTTAAAAAAAAAAAAAAAGAAAAAAAAGAAAAGAAGGATGAAGAAGGCAGACTTGTTTTGTACAAAATTAAAAGTCAAGTCTTCAACGTCCAATTTATTCATGAAGTGAAGAAAGTGGTGATGGTGGTGATGAGGAGGGTGCCGCGGATGCTTTGCAAATGGGGCACCAATTCTTCTGCCTCAACCATTGACGTATGCATGCCACATGATACCTATGCTCGCATTGTAACCTCCCCACTTCATCTCCAACAGTATAATCTTCCTGTAATAAGAAAACAGGACTGTCAAAAAAGGTGATAAACTTGACATAAAATGGATGGTTGGCTTCCACTCTGTAGCTAATTTAAATAATTTGAATGATATCCAATTTATAGAACCGCATTTAGCTTTAAAAAAAAGCCATTGCAATTTGCAAAATATGTCTATATTAAACTCATAATTTGTTCAACTTTATATATAAGCATTTTGGCTAAAATCTCAATCAGATAAATTGCATATAGAAGACCAGAAATGGTTATAAAGCAAACAGTGGAAAGAAAAAGGTGAAAATTACCTGGCAGATGCTGCATTTGACATCATCTTTTTTCCCACAAAGGTCTGAAGCTGCATCCTCCAGAGAAGCTGACTGATAGCTGCTAGTCTTTAGACATTCAGACAGTGCTTCCTCTGTCAGTGCAGTGCTCACAGTACCCATCCTTTCTTCTAGAGCTAATAATTCCTGTCAAACAGCAACAATATGTCAGATTAGAACAAGAAAACTGAGTTCTTAACTAAAATTTTTAACTTAGAATGTCCAAATAGACAATGATAGAAAAATAGGAAGATTTGGAAATATTCTCATAACAAACAACAGAGCATAAGATAGAATTAATGTAGTAACACAACCGGAATACAGTAACTGACCTCATATGACATATTATCAATATCCAATCTCATGTCTCTGTGTTGGTCATAGATATTGAGCCCATTAAGGAACAAACCAGTCTCAAGAACAAGCAATTGCTGCCAGACAAGGAAGAAGAATCAGTGACAGATATACAACCTCATGAAAGCCAAAATGTTAAAGCTTACCTACCTCATATGTTAGCTCTTCATCTTGTTCAATCCTCTCAAGTGCCAATAACACCTGCCCAATATTATTCAATAACAATTTTAGAGAAAACATCATTACTAGAGCAAAATTATATTTCTCTCTCCATCTTAGCAAAACTTAATTCATGATATCACCAAGAAGGAACAAAATGGTGCAACACCACATGCACTAAATACCTCAGCAATTCCATCCATATTGTAGTGACGGAAGCTCTCTCGATTCATTGAAGAACGGATATTGCCAACTTCAGCAGGACTAGATGGCCTAATGCCCTGAAAACTCTCGCTGCTACTTCCAGGTAGACCATAAGACCTTAAGTGACTTAATGAAGATTCTGTAGAGAATTGATGTGATGAACCAGGTGAATTTGAATCAACTGGCATAATAGGCTGAGACATTTGCCGGATTACGACATGGGGCTGATCTGGTGATGAATTATTCCAACTTCCTTGATTAGCAGCTCTTGCTCTGGTGTAAGTGAGTGATCTTCGAGTCCTAACTGATGCAGGACCGTTATCCCTGTTAGGTGGTCCGTTTCTTGTTCTCCTTGTACCAGGAATTGAAATACCAGAGCTAGAATTAAAATCACGACCTTCCAATGATGATCCATTTATTTTCTTCCCTCTGACAGAAGAACTACTTTCTCCATCACAACTTCTCTTCTTTAATGCGTCTTTTCGTCTAGGGATATTTGAATCTGATGTTGAAGATCCTGTGGGGACAGCATCTGATATTGAGTTGCATCTAAGGTTTCTCAGACCATATCTGGCTGCACCAGGACGTGTCCCTTGACTTGTGCTTTTGGATGCCAACGAGATGGGTGACCCTAATGGACTATCTAGTTTACCTATACCATATTTCTGATGAGAACTCCTAGATCTTGTACTTTTTATGCTAGAGCTTCCAACTTCTGTTGTGGTATTCTCACTACAACCAGCATCATTAGATTCAGGGCAAATGCCTTTTTGGATCTTTCCAGTAGCGGTTACAAGTTCTGGCACTTCAGGATCATCCTGAGAACTACCAGTTTCAGAAGGAGCTTTTTCTGGCTGAGAAGACAGCTTTTTCCGAGGCCCTGGCAAGAATTTCTTAGGATTACTGGTTGCAGAGCAAGTTCTAGAGGAACTTCCAATTATTTCCTTGCCATTTGATGAAGGTCGGAATGGTGGCCTTGAAGATTTTGCTTTTTCTGAACAGCTGATCTGAGTACCTTTAGCAGAGTTTAGTCTCCCGCTACACCCGATTCGATTGCAAAACTGAGCATTTCGCTCTCTATTATTAGCAGTATCTCTCAAAACAAGGGTAGTACCCTTTCTAGAGACAACCAGCCCATTACCAGCTTTCTTACCAGAATAATCATCCATAAATGGCAATGTTTAAATCTGCAATAACAAATACATTGTCGTTTAGATTAATTAAACCCCTTATAAAGTGTAAATACTTTATTTGAATTGCAAAAGAAAGTTGCACATAGAATTAAGTAGCAAAAAAAAAGCAAAAACCAGTCATTCTAGCGCTTCAATCAAATTAGAAATTTTTCCTCCCAGGAGCTATTTCCCAGGTATCACTATTATCATATCCCCTCAAATTCATTTTACATTAATATGTTTCCTCCATGATTGTTGCAGGAAGCATGGTACTACATACCAAATAACTACTAAGCATGAGCACGATATTTCATTACCATTAAGCACACAAATTGAACGCATTGCAATGATGTGTTCAATGCAATGACGCTCCAAGGAATCATTCAGAAATAACAGAAGCATGAGAGCAATGTGGCTTAATACCAGAACATATGTAATCAAGCAACTGGTAACAAAATTAACTTTGAAGAGCAATCTTTCTCACCTCAAGTTTAGTATAATCAAAACCCAATCAATCCTCCACAGAATTGGAATAACCCAATTTCGGATTTTCACTCTTATGGTAGATAATTTTATTTTTAACGATAAGTTCGCTATTATCCCATCAAATATAAACACGGATACATTTTAAGGTCAGACAACATGCGCCTAAAATACCTCAGTAACCAATAAAAAAAAAAAAAGAAAAAAAGAAAAGTGAGGTATCAGAAGAAACTCTCTTCCTAGCATTAAAAAGTAAGGTAAATTCAATCATAAGAAGTGGAGTTAATGAATTATCAAAAAAGGGAACATCTTTGTTAACCAAATTCAGTTTCAGTTTGATCATGAGAAAAAGAAAGGAACAAAGAAAGGAAGAAGACGAAGATTGGAAATGCCCACATCCATATTTCACTTCCAAGAAAAGTGGGTCTCATCGTTTTTCTAGGAACCAAACCTATCCTTGAATTATTCTCACACAATATTTTCCCTTCCTTTCTAAAAATAAAAGGACTCTTTCTCCGTGATTTCAGGGTTGTTCTACAAGCTGAATTCCTATAAAAGCTAGAACTCTTATAACAAAAAAGACATGTCTTTTTTTTTTTTTTTTTTTTTTTTTGTTTTTTTTTTTCCTTTCAAAAAAACAAAGGAGTTTTAAAAATATCCTCCTTTTTTTTTTTTTTTTTTTTTTTTCCTTTCAAAAAACAAAGGAGTTAATATCCTCCTCGTATCTGCACGTATCTGCAAAGTCCCGACGTCACCAACATATAAGCTAACAAAAAATAAACACGATTATGATCAGAATTAAACTGAAACAAAAAGGAAAATAGACAATATTAGTTGCTCTTAATCTCCAATGAACCAAACAGAAAATTGAATCAACGAATTCACTAAAAAACGAATAACCAGAAATCTCAACAACCAAGCACGAGAATTAAATAAACAAATATCAAATTCAAACACCGTGAAGCCATCAAATTGAAATATTTTGCAAAAAAAAACCATCAAATAAAAAATATCCGCACGTACAGGCTTGTCTTCTTGTACAGAGAGAAGAAGAAAAAGAGAGGGAGGTCTGCAAGCGTTCAAAAGTGGAAGAGAGAAAGAGCGGAGAAAACGTGTTTTCGTATTCAGAAGAGAGCCAAAGGCGAAGAAAAGTCTTGAACTCCAAACGCACAATATAAGTGCAGTGCCGTCCCAATTGCAAGAGGAAAAGAAGTAAACTGAAATATGAGCCGTTAGATTTGGTGCGTGTGGGAGTCGAGAATCGACGGCTGTGGATGATCCTAACCTCACAGCCTTGTTTATGCTCCTTTTGTGGACGGAAACCCCACATCACTTGCTCCAGCCGCCTAACCTCTTATTTTAAGTTACATATATTAATTATTATTAAACAGAATGCTTTTATTTATTATTTATTTTTGTGGATGATTATGACTTTATTTTGTACATTCGACGCTCTCTATCTTTCTTTTGATTTTTGAATTGACATGTTTTTGTTGATTTCCTTTTTGCTTGGTCATAATTATTAATACTGTATTTATTTGCAAGAAAATAATAAATTAAAAGTAATGAAAATTCTAATTATAATTATTTATGAAAATTCAAATTTTGGATCCACCACTCCTTTAATAATAATAAAAAAAAAGTTTTCAATAATTGTCCCGGGAACACTTTTGATAATGAAAACTCTTAAATTTTTATTTGATAACTTTTAAATTTAAATTGCTTTGAAAAATAGGATAAAATCACATTCAATTTTAAAAAAAAAAAATATTTAATTGAATAATAATTACATATATCAATTTAATCACAGAATTACGTGTTGCTCAAAGTGATAAATAACCTTTATCTCTATAAGAATTATAACCACAATTTTAATATTTAAAAAGCATATTTACCCGGAGAGTGGAAAAATTTTATGATATAAAAAATTACTCCTAAAAAATATGCTTTCAATAGTAAAACTTTATATATTTAAATAAAAAAAATATGGATATTGAGGTGAAAAGGAGGGTTGGAGGCTGAATTGCTAATATTTAAAATTTTTATTAAATAAATGAATAGTTAAATTGCTGAACATATATATTTATTAAGGAATTAATAAGACTAATTTTTGTCAAACTTCTTAATTATCAAAGGAAAAATGAAGATAAAGAGACAAAAATAGTAAGTGGTGATTGACCAAAAACTCAAAGTGTTATTGTCGAAAAGCATTAGCAAATTTTATGACCAAAAAGTAGGCCATTACGGTAATTTCACCAATGAGAGTCATTATTATTATTTTTATTATTATTATTACACCAATGAGATCATATATATTTTTATTATTATATATTATAATTATTATTATTATTATTAAATATTTATTATTATTATTATTATTATTAAAATATTTATAATTTCACATATTGAGGGAAAATTAATAGAACCAAATAGATAGTGCCAATTGGAAAACAAGGAAGAACCAACTTTGCCGCCGATACTGTTTGTGATGCAATTATTTGTTTCCATCTTGTTGTTTGCTAGCAAGATTAAGATAAGCATAAAGTCTTTCCTAAAATAATTAATTAATAATAATCATTTTTCTCAAAGAGAAAACAATGATGATGTGGCTCAAATTAGGGGATTTGTGGGCATTTAATTAGTCTAAAGGAAGGATTATGCACAGGTTGGCTTAAGCCACTATTAGTACACAAGACATGTGTCATGCCATTTATTATGATGACGTGTAAATATAGGTAAGAAAAAGAAATTTGATGATAGATACCCAATAAACAAAGGCCGAAGTACCCGCCGTGGAGGTAGTCTAAATAGAAAAAACTCAAATGAAAAATTGAGTGTTCGATTTTTGTGAACAGAGAGAATTTCTAATAAAGCCTTTCGCTTTCATTAAATCGATATGGATTGCCTCCACGCGAAATAGCATTAGAGTTCTGATTAGAAGGATACTGCTAGAACCAACCTGTTGTTACCTAATTCTCCTAAGATGGTGTTCCAAGTGGAAAGAGCTTGATGCGACCTGTTCAACAAAACCAACCTCAATTTCTGTTAAAAAAAAAAAAAAAAAAAAAAAAAAACTAATACGAGGTAGAAGAAGAGACATGTTAAACCAACTGTGGATAAACAAATTCCTTACAAGAAGTCTGTTGCCTTTCTATCATCAAGGAAATTTCTGTTAAAAAAAAAAAAAAAAAACTAATACGAGGTAGAAGAAGAGACATGTTAACCAACTGTGGATAAACAAATTCCTTACAAGGAATGTCTGTTCCTTTCTATTCATCAAGGATTTTTTATTTATATAAATCAAAACCAAAAAGGAAAAATGCTTTTAACGCTATATAAGTTTCTATCAGCAATATTTTAAAAATTTTATAAAATGAAAAAAAAAAAAATTCCTATTATGCAATTTCATTCTTAATTAGTGCTTAAACCAAATTTATTGAACTGGGTTATAAGATCGTTTCAGGCAAATATGATTTTGTAGTTAGATTTCTCCATCAAGAGTGCAAAAAGTAATGAATTCCATTGGATTTGTCCACCAATAATAATAGATATGATGTTAATTAATAATATGTTCAAAGCTAATTAGTGGGCATCACATCGACATTAATCCATTATTAGCACTTCAAATTAAATTTCAAGAATGGAATCATTTCTTAAAAGGATATTCTTATTAAGAAAATGTACAAATCTATCCTCAATTAGGAAATATATTGGAAGAAACAATAATTTGATAGAGAAAGATGGATTCTGGCTTCTTTAGAAAGAATCCCTTCTAATAATTAATTTAATCTCCCTGTGAAGAGATGCCGTTACATATTAATTTTCCAAAAATTTCCTTAATTTCGTAAGTTCATTATTTACTATAATATAATCAATAAATTTTATATAACATATTTATAATAATAATAGATTATTATAATTTGACAATCAAATTTTCATCAAAGAAAAAATTATTTATCAATCAATTTAAAAATTTTTATAACAATTTAAATTTAATTTATATTATTGTTTCTTATAATATAATACTATAAACTGTCTATATTACTAAAATAGAAAAATCAGTAATAGCTATTATAACAATTAATATATTAATCATTATTTTTAGAGCATTATTTATGATTTTGGTTTTTTTTTAAAATTTTTTGCTAAACTCTATGAGCATATAATTAATTTTGTGATTGATTTTGTTTGAGAAAAAAAATTTCTTCCAATGTATTAATTATATGGTTTGCTACTGAATTTTATTTTCTATTTTATACCAAGCAATAAATTTTATAATATATTTTTTAATAAATAGCAATAAATTATACTTTTTTTAGAATAAGTTAATTATAACCAATCAAAAACTAAAGATTTATTAAAAATATTATATTCTTAACAAATATATATTATACAATATAACTAATCAAAATTAAATTACATTTATATTCTCAACTAATAAAATTAAATTGTTTAAAGATATTATATTCTTACCATATTTAAACATATACCTTATTATATTATATTACCATATAACGTGTATATATTACCATATAATATATATATTACCGTTTATGCTACTATTATATTACCATATAAAACGCTAATTTCGATTATAAGAAAGGTAAAACTAAATAACATTACCATATTTTATATATATCTTATATATATTGTATATAGTATGTAACGTATTAAATTACGTAGTAGAGACATTTTTGAATTTCCAATCCACCAAATTGATAAAAACTCTCCCTCCTTACATAATATATTACTAATGGCATTAATTATTCGTCTATTAAGTTACTAACTATATTGTCATTTTTGGCTAATTGTGAGATTGGTTGCAGTGGATAACAACGTTGTTATAAATAAGAATCGGTTACGTGAATACCAAAGAACTGAAGATGAAAGGGTCAACATTCCTCCACATGTCTCGGTTGCTTGATGAATGATGATCGACCATTATCTTAATACTATCATTTCATGGTTTCCATTATAACCCAACTCAGTTTCATCCCATTTTTCTATTTTTATGCGCAATTCACGCTCTTTTGATCAATCTCAAAACCCATATTTCCTCCTCTTTCCTTCTTATACTCACTTTTTCTTTTCCTTTTTTCCCATGAATCTTCTTCTTCTGCTGCTTTCAACAAGGTACGTTACATACGTTTCAAGCCATCTCTCTCTTTCTTTTGCTTATTTGAAGTTTCATACTGTGAGACAGATTATTCTTTAATTGTTTTTGTTCTTGTTTGTTCTATAAGCAAACTAGAAAAGAATTTCATTTTATTCTTGATTACCAGAGATTCATTCATACACATGATGCTTACGTTGTAATTTTGTTTAATAACTTTGTTATTTAAAAACTATGTCGTTTTATAATTAATATCATGGATTAATTTGCTTCATATATGCAACATGATCAAACTTACTTTTTATCTTCGTTAATTCTTTGCGAATATAAACAGTAGGGTGTAAAGATGGGTTATGATATGAGATTCACATAGAATGGAAATTAAACGAGTTATGGTTGAATCTAAAAGGTTTCGTGTTATAAACGGTTGATCCGTTCGTATATAACTGGTTTAAACGTATGACACGATATTTAACTCGCATACCTCATTTAATTAAGGCTAAATTGGAAACTCATATATATAGGAGATTATTTGTGTCATAAGCATGTCATCCACTCCGTAAGTTAATTTGTGTTGAAACCAATGCGCCAAACCGTTTTGACATCCCGTAGATCAATGGTATGAGATGGGTTTTAATTAATTTTGGCAATCAATCATTTTTCATTTCTCTGAATGTGAATTGATATGTCTGGTTGAACTGGTGCTACAATAACTCTCTATTTGATTATCAGTAATTAAGAACAGTTAGCAACATATATTTTATTTTTGTAATGGTAATTGTTTTTTTTTTTTTTATGGATAATGCAGTGTCTTGTAGAACTTAACTAGCAATATTATACATATACATATATGGCTACAAAAGCAAAGGATAGTAATAGTAGTCTGAGAAAGGAGAAGAAGGTGACGCCCTCTTCACATTCTCACACCACAAGCAAACAACCCAATCCCAGACCAACCACAACAAGCTCTAATACTCTTCATCATCCTAAAGACAAATCAACCAAACCAGTTCCAAACTATCTGAAGCCTACATTTAGCTCAAGCTCAGAGTCCTTAAAGGTGGTTAATAAGAAACTTGCGATTAATAGTGAAGATGCAGCCAACCAAAAGCTTCTTAGAAGAAGATCTTTTGATAGACCTCCATCGGCTTCTAGAGTACAAAAGTCACTTATCTCTCCTGTCCGTAAAGACAGATCGGGTTCTCGAGATAAACCATCACCATTGGCTATCCGATCTTCCTCTTTTTCAGCATCAAGAACTCCAAGTTCAACACCTAAACCAGTTGTTCTGGAAAGGAAGTCCGGTAAGTCTTTTAAGCCTGTCAAATCTCAGGCTGCAGCAGAGACAATAAAGAGGAGCTCAAGCTTCTCGAGGACAAGTACTACTAGTGTATCCGAAAATGCTTCTCCAAATCACAGTCATGATACAACTCCGGTGGCTGTCCATCTTGAAACAAAGCAAGAAACAGATAAAGAATCTTTGATTCAAGATGTTGAAGGGGTCAATGATGCAAGGGAGATAGAAACACCAAAAGCTGAAAGAAAAGATGTAGATGCAGATCATATTGCTTTACAGTTAGATACTGATCAAGTTAAAGATGATGACAAGGTCAATAAACCTAAGGAAATTTCCTCAGATATGATTTCACAAGGACAAACTTCTCCAAAGGAAACCCAAGTTGAGGAATTGACTGAAAGTGAATTGCGCCAACAAGATGAAGAAGTAGAAAAAGGAGAAACTCATCAAAATCACAGCAGTTGTAATTATAATAATGACCCTGAACCTGAACCTGAACCTGAACCTGAACCTGAACCGGAAGAGAGTATTCACGTAGATAATGCTAAAGTTGGGAGTGATCACGATCACGAAGACAAAGAAGAGAATGCCAATGAAGAAATTATAGAGGAAAACAATAAGGAAGAGAATGAAGAAAGCGAGATTCAGGTTAAGTTGAAGGAAGAAGAAGATCATGTGGCAGGGATTAGTGTTGAAGAAGAAATACAATTAGAAGAAGATCAGGAAGAAAGAAAGCAGGAGGAGGATAATATTAATGAAGTGCAAAAGAGTGAAGGAGGACAAGGGAATAAGAAGGAAACTCCAACGGCATACAATGATGTGATAGAGAAGTGTAAGAATAAGCTACTTGAGAAGAGGAAGAACAAGGTGAAAGCACTTGTTGGTGCATTTGAGACTGTCATTGATTATGAAACTGCAAATTCTAAATAAGTACATCATCTCGATCCAAGCCATTGAGGACCTTTTTTTTAAATTAATGTATCACTCAATTCAAGAGTTAATTTGTGGATACTCAACTGTTGTATTATCTGTTTAACCAACCATGACATTATTGTGCTGGGCTATATAAAGCATAGACATATACAGACTCTTCGTTTATTCATTTATTTCTTCTTATCTTTTCTTTTTCTTTGCGTTAGATGGCGATGGTGTACTTTGTGAAAAGAAAGTATAATGTTTTCCAATTGTGTTTGCTTTATTTCTCTTGCGTACATAACTATTTTTCTATCGAAGCCAATACCGCATCAAAATATGAAGGATGCTTTTGTGCAACAAGAAATTTATTGCTTACACGCTCTGCGTGGATGGTCCATGTACCAAGCCAATAAAAAAAATTTTATTATTTTTTTTAATGTATAATCAGAAATAATTCTCATTTAATTCATTTAAAATATGATTTGTCGTTGGTTTGATTTAATGTGTAGATGAGTTCATATACTAGACGTAAATAAGTCTTTCCCTAGTGATAATATTTTATAGAATAAAACTTGTCTTAATATGTAAATGTTAGTATTATTTTATCCATTTTCCCAATAAATGGTTCGAAATAGGCTCGTGTGGTATATGTAAATAGAAGATAATGTTATTTATGTTGCTTTCTTAATTTCTAGATAAGCAATTGTCTACTTGAACAATCATGGTCAATAAATCATAAAAAAAAAATAAATGTAAAATACAATTTCAATCACAGAATCTCAAAATAGAAAGAATACAACTGTATATATTGGATTGAACAAATAAATTCAGTTTCTAATTGACAAGCCAATAATTGAAAAAAAAAGAATATTTCCCACACACACAAGAAAATCAAATAAATAGTTTAAGAATTTTCCGCTATTTATATATATTGCCAACTCATTTTTACGTCCTTCAATTCATAGCACATTTAAATGGAATTTTTGATAATTTAGCTGTCCCTGATGAAACTGTTGCCCCTGTTGTATCTTATCTGCAAAGAAACCTGCCTTTCTAGCAAAAGTTGCCGGCGAAAGTTGGATATGAAAATCTCCGCCCTCTGGTCAATGTCCTCTTGTGAGGCATAACTTCTTGTCTTTTGCAAGGCTCGGACCGACTTGTTTTGATCTGATTCTACATCTTCAATACATCCATGTAACCCCAGCCGATCATTGAAGCTCAAACGACGCCGGCTCTTAGAGGCATTGTGGAGAATCGAAGCTAATCGCCACTGCCTCAGGTTAAAGCTCAGTAGAAAGTTCAGCTTCTTTACGGCCCTCTTCAGGTGGCCTACCACCGTCCAGTTCTTTTTGCCCATTTTGATGCTTTGAAGAAAGAGAGTATTAATTTGATGCAAATGGGAGATATTTATAGGACGTTGATGACGCTTAGAAGACTTAGAGGATTCTCGGACAAGACATCGAGTTTAAAGCGTGTCAGCAAGTGTTTTTTTATTACTTTTTTTTTTTTCTTTTGTCCAACGAACAACGTTCGGCTATTCGTGACAACGACTAGGATGACAGCGCGGTCACATTTGGGCGAGTTAATGATGAGGAGTAACCACTAGTTTCCATTTGACGTATGTTTTCCAGTAAAGTTTCTAGACTCATTGGACTGTCATTTTTGACAGGGGCACAGCACGAATTGGCGACACAGCCAATTCAATTTCTTGCTGACTAAGTTTATGCTTATCGAAATGTGATGACTAATAGATATTGCATCCAAAATAAATAAATAAATAAGCCAGAGCAAAGTGGATCGCTAGTGGTGAATTACATATATAACCTATTCATGTTAGAATCCCTCATTCCAAAAAGCAAAGTGGGTCCGGTTTAAAAGTTGGATTGTTTTCACTTTTCAGTTGATTAAGTTGGGCTTTCAATTGAAACCAAGTGAATGGGCTATCTTCTTGATTTGAACAAAATATGATCTACATGCTATCATGGTTGATACGCTTACACTGTATTCTGCAAAAAGTTTCTTGTTCTTGGCCTAACACCTTTGATGCAGGTGAAGCCTTTTTAAACAATTGTTCAGCTGTAAAAACTCCGACAGCCCTTGACCTTGAGCTGTAAGTATTTTCGTGTAAGTTGCTATATTTTATAACTACGACCATTCTGTATTTCTTTTCCAAGATTAGATCAACCACATGACCGATGGATGTTGTGGCTGTGACACAAGGAGCTGGGCTTCTCATCATTGTCATAAGAGGGGCATTCAACTGCACGAGATAGTGCAAAATTGTGTTAGCTTGTGAATATGCATTTTGAACACATTGGCACTCAATCATGCCTCCAAAGCATCAAATGAGATCTAATAGTGCTAACATGTAGCCCGTAATAAATAAACAAAGCTTTTGCCTGGACTTGTAAAACCAAGAAAATTTTAATCAATCTTTAGCAGCTGTAGCAGCAATGTCAAAGTACCTCAGTGCAGTCTTCACGATGCAGTAGTCCAATGCAGCTCCCCCAGTCATCCACAATCGGCACAACTGACTGCCTAAAGAAGCGCATAACCACTTTCTTCAATTCCAGTGTACCAAGTAGTGGCTTTGCTTCTTTGAATGGTGTCATCATACTCTCAATTGGTTCACTTGGTGATACCTGAAAGGAGAAGCAACTTCCTGAGTATCAATCTATCTCCAGAACCTAGTGTTCCAAATCCAGTAACCACCACTAACAAGAAATTATTTGATTTGGAGGCAAGGAATCCAGTCACACTCACAAGTAAACTTTCATACATGTTTTTCATTCCTCACTGGTCATCAGGATATTATATATTACATACTTCTGCTGAATGAACTGAAGAAAAACAGACTTTCTACCTCGGGGAGCAGGTAAGGGCTGAAAATGGATTTCATGGATCCCAACAAGGCCTCTATGCGTATAGCAACCTGCATCGTAAAGGAAAACTAAGATTGAGGAATGCGCTTGTTGATTAAATGGCCAAGATCAATGTAGATAATTTTATATGAGTAACAAACCAGCAAAAATTAAATGTTGGAAAGTGATATTTGAACCAAATATATACTCAATTCGAAGAATTATTGATACCTAGAAAAATAGTAAAGGAATAGTGTACTGTATATGCTTAGATAGGTTATCAATATTCAGTCACAAAAAATAAAAATGGTCTTCAATAAACTGTCTTAGTTTAGGTGCTTGGTCAATTTTCCTTCCGTCTGAAGCCATGGAAATCAAACAATATCACATACCATGCCTCCTCGACTTGTCCAAGATATGCCCTTCCATTTTAGTATAAGACTTCTAAGATTCTCCATAGCCGCATCAACCTAACAAAATGAAATAACCATAAACAAACACTATAAAAATTAGGGAGCTGTCTCCTTATATCATCTAATCAGAGTTGAAAAAATTAATAATGTTTGAAAGCAATAGTATGCATTTAACCTATTAAAGAAGCATTATAATAAAGTATAATAGCAAAATTCTTTGTGATCAATGATTTTAAGAAGTATTTTGACAAAATATTAGATCTGTACCTGACCGTCATTTAGAGCAGCCTCCATGAGAAGATGATCAGCTTCTTTTTGAACTTCTGGAGAGATAGTTCCTGCTGAATCTGGCCATAAGCGCTTGTGCAGATTTTTAACCATATTGTAATCTCCTTGAATGGCAAAAGCACGCATCATGGACAAATAGAGGTGAGGCTTTGGTTGAAGGTCCCGCTTCAGACCAGCTCGCTTGATTATTTCTCCAAATATACAAAGAGCACCTAAATGTATGATAGACAAACAACTAATAAGTGGTGCTAAAAGGATAATCCTGAAACAAAAGTCAGAATGCAGCACACCTTTAATTGAGCCACAATTTAGCATTGCGTCAACTATTGCAGTGAATGCAGTTCGATCGATAAATAAATTTTGGTGCAATTTCATTTCCAACACAATTTTCTGAACTGAAAGAAGATCCTTCACGTTCCCAAAACCCTGTAAAAAAAGATAATCAGGGAAAGTGAAAAGAAAAGCAAAGATCTTCCTCACAATTTGTTTCTGTACAGCTCGTATGAGTTTTAGTAAAGTTAGGTAGCCAATTCATCTTATTGAACAACTTGTATATAACTTGCTTAGATATTTTCAATAACTTAGAAAACTACATACATTCTCCGCTTTGAATTCCTTCTATCTTCCCACTAGAGAACTATACTAGAAAATATATGCAAAATTTCTGACCTTGAGTAATGTAGTGTAGGTGATAATATCTGGATACAGATAGCCGCTGTTTGGTTCTTGTGATTTATCCTGCAAAAGGTTGTAGGTTTCATAATTTAGTTTAAGCAGACTAAGTACTCTTATAGCATCCTAGTTTCTTATATACAGAGGCTCTAACTGGCCTTCCAAAATGGATGCTTGTGACCTTCATTTCCTCAAAGAAACGCATTGCAGCATCCAACTTTTCAGCCTTGACACATGCAAAAATTAAAGTATTATAGGTGAGCCTATCAAGAGTTAACCCCAGACGTAATATCTCATCCCGCACAGTCAAGGCAGTTTGAGGATACCCTGCATTTATATATCCCTGAAAATTCAAAAAGAAAAAGCATTGAAAATCTCACAAGCACAAGATCAGATGTAAATTATAACTTTCTAAAGCTCAAACTCAAACACTCTCTAAAGCATAGGCCTCTTAGCCAAGCATAGATCAGTATAAGACCTTCATCAGTAAGTTGTATATCAAGACTGGAGCACTGCCTCCTTCCCGAAGCAAAAAACCGTAACGCGCCAGAAGACCATTAGCCCGGCGTAAATCTCCTGCACTACAGCGGAGCGGCCACAGCATCATAAGTAAGCCTCACGATTGAAATGGTGACACATCTATCATTATAACACATATTCTATTTCTTTTTAGTTCTTAAGACAACAAAAAGGCAATTCTTCGGCCGACAGAAGTTCAATTTTGGGCTAAATTCTTTTATTATTATTACTAATATTGCAAATGCTAGTCCTGTTCCTATAACAAACTAACATATACAAATTTTTCGTGAAGAATATTTGTACTTTAAAGAAAAGAGAAATTTTAATTATGATTTGCTAACCTGCTTCAATTAGAGCATTTAAGAAGCCGATAATAATTGGCGCAGATAATTGTGTCCTTCCCACTGCAGAACCTTGCTCCAATGATTCAAGCATTTGAAATGCTTCGTCGATTCTTCGAGCCTCACCCAAACCCTTTAACACAGTAAATAATTACAAAAGAAGAAGAAGAACAATGAATAAGAATTTACACCGATGCTTGGGGAAAAAAATTCAGTAGCCTAAATTTTCATCGTAAGAATGGGAAAAGCATAAAATTCCAAACACATAGATATTAGAAATTATTTATTAGTAGTAATGAAATACCTTCAACAGTGTACCGTATGTGACCCCATCAACGCCACAACTGCCCGGCTTGGACATCTCATCGAAGACTCGAAGAGCTGAATCAATATCGCCGCAATGTACACAAGCCTCCATCACCGCATTCATAATGATCGTGTTCAGCTTCCCATAACGTCTCTTGGCAACTTCGATTTCCTCAAAAATCTACAAAAATAGGTAATGGAGAACGATTAGTTGAAAAGGACAAGTTTAAGAGAAATAATTAGGAAATCGGAAAATTGTGAAGAAAGAATACCTGTTGAAGCTGTCTTCGGCGTGTGAGCTGGACAACGCGAGAGGTAAGTCGTTTGAGATAAGAGTTCCTGCGAGGAGGAATCTTGAGCAGTCGACGCCGTGTTGGGCCAGAGGAAGAAGACAAGAAGATGCTGAGAGAGGGTAATGGTTTTGACGTCAAATACGACGATAGAGCTTGAATTTGATGCATTGCTGGGGATGGAGGAGCTACCCATCAGCCATGGAAGCTACCAGATGAGCGGAAATCAGGTAACAGATAATGCAGGAACGAAAAGTGCTACTGCTAGGAGTTAAGACAAAAAAAATATACAGGAGTTTGGATGGAGATTGTTGGCGGGTACATAAGTGGCGCACGTTAGGACGAGGTCCAGAGTTTGGGCTTCTTTACTTTATCTATTGGAATTAGTAAGGCCCGCGCTACTGGGCCTTGACCGATAGGTCGGAGCAGAGAACAAATATACATTACACGATTAAAGATTTCTTGATCATATTAAATTTATCTTTTCTTATAATTAAAATAAATTATTATTCGTACTAAAACTAACAAATTTCAGCCACCTTAGGAACGAGAATGTAAATTATTTTTATGGAAAAAAATTTTAAACACTATACTAATTCAATACTTTGCATATAAAAGATAAATAATTTAAAATTGTTGTTATTAAAATTTGTAAATTTAATAATCCAATAGATGAACAACACAGCTAAAGAGCAAATTTGTACATTTAGCTGTAACTGTTGGGTATAATTATTTGGTCTAATCTTTAAAATAAGTAGTCATAATCACACATCGTGTTTAAAAAATGTGTAAATTTGGCAAATTTATACACATTTCACTAAAAAATCCCAAATAAAATTAAGCAGATGATATTATATGACTTGAAACTAAAAAATTAAAAAAAAAAAAAAAAGATTTGAACAAAAGCAAATAGCCAAATAAATATTAGTATAATTAAACTCGAGTTAATGCTGTGTCCGCCAGTAAAGCCTCCACTGCTTTTCTTCCAGAGACCAAAGCACCATCAAAAGTAGCAGAAGTCATATAATCACCGCACAAATATAAACCTGACGCCACCTGAGATTTTTTCATCAAATCAGTTGGTGGGCATTGGTTTGGCTGTGCAAATTCAATCCTGTATGTTCTCAAATATTTCCATGATTCCACCATTGAACTTCCAAACCAACCGGAAAGCTCCCTGACAACCTTAGCCGTCAGATCATCATCAGAAATATCCTCGAACAATCCTATCAACGACACTGATACTAATACCTTCCCAGGCGGGCCATACGATGGAGCCACGTTGGTTGCAAAAAACATGTTGTTTACGATTCCTTTCCCTGAACCATTGAGAAACAGGACTGGATCCTCTACCGGAATGCTGTTCCGGTCAGCTGAGAAATATATACAAACGGTACTGCGAGGCGGTTTTCTCTTAACTGGTAATTTGATGTTCCGTCCCGCTAAAAGCCTATCCACTTCTGGTTCTTCAACGGCCAAAATTACTCCAATCTCACTTTGTAAAATTTCTCCATCTTTCAATCTCACACTGGGTTTCGTGTTTGGTTCGTGGAAGTCAATAGAATCTACTCTAGCATTGAAGATAATGGAGTCTGGCGGCAACTTAGCGGCGAGTTGATTTGGAATGGCGCCGATTCCCTTGGCAGGAAGGGTATTGTCGCCGAGAGCTAGACACTTGAAGATGAAATCGAACAATCTAGAGGTAGTTTGAAGATCTTTATCAAAGAATATCCCGCCAAAGAATGGCCTGAAAAACCGGTTAATCATGGAATCCGAAAACCCAATGTTCCTGAGCAGATCAATGGTGGTAACCTCATTAGCAGAAAGAATTTCTTTATCAGATTTTGTCAAAACATTAATCCTGGTTGATGCAATGAGTAATTTATCAGTAATAGATCCAATTGGATTAGTTAAGGATTTTACAGAGTCCCAAAAGTGGCGCAAAGGATCAGCCACGGTGTGGAACTGACCATCCACGTAAATCCTAGCACCGGAGTAAAATTTCTGCAACTCTAATGCTTGAAAATTGAGAACTTTTCGAGCTTCCGGATAGGCTGTGATGAAGATTTGGAAGCCTCGGTCAAGGAGAAACCCGTCCACATAGTCAGTTCGAACGCGACCACCAACTTGATCAGAAGCTTCCAAGAGTAGGAAAGGAATGTTTTCTGAATTAAGCCGAATTGCTGCGGCTAGACCTGCAAGGCCGGCTCCGATGATAATGACTCCGGTTTTTTGGCTAGACAGAGATTGAGAATTTGAAGATTTGGGATTAGAAGAAAGTTGTTGCGCTTGAAGTTTGAATCTGACGGAAAAACTTTTTTGGGAAGAGAGAGTTAAATGCGAGTGAGAGATGGAGAAGGGGAGAGAATGAGCGAGTGAGAGAGTCATCGGATAAGGCTTTTTTTGATTGTCATTTGAAAGATGTAGTGTAGCTATATTTCTGTTGAAGAAAATATGGCTTTTCCATTGCATTTGGGGCTGGATTTACAATTCACAAAATAGTAAAGAGAAATTATTACTTAGTCCCTCAATTTTTCCAAAAGTGAATATGTCTCCTTCTTCTCCTTCTTCTTCTTCTTCAAATGATTAATTACTAGACTTCGTAAAGTATTATGTATATACTATCTCTCTATATATAAAACCTGAAATCTCTTTGATGACGTGGTTTAATTTCAAAACATTAGCTTACATAGTTATAATTGATTTTTTTATTTAAAATAAATTATTGTTGTTAATATCATTTATAGATATTCATTGAATGATCTATCTATTCACCTATATAAATATATAAAACCTGAAATATCACATGGTTCAATTTTACAACATTAGCTTACTTAGGTGCAATAATTTTTTTCATTTGAAATAAATTATTATTGTTAATATCATTTATAGATTTTAATGGAGTGAATAATATTAATTATATTTTATAGTTTTAATAATTAATAATGTTATTCACATTTTAAAAATACTTCAACTTCTTTTTTCAATAAATAATATAACGTTTTAACTTTTAATAATTAATGAAATCTTTTAATTTGAATATTAATGGATGTAGTATTATTTTTGTCATTCATTTTTCGTAATTGATAAAAATTAATATTATCATTAATGTCTTTTAAAGCACTAAAATTTTTGAAGTTTTTATAATAATTAATTAAATTAATAATGCCATATTAATGATTTAAATGAAAAAAAAAACATTTTCAAACTTTTTTCTAATAGATGTTACTATGAATATTTTTCTAAATAAAAAATTGAAATTCTGCCCCGATCCGCCGTGTCATTATTTTTTTTTTCTTTTATTTTGAGGGGAAATTTAAAGGTAAAAATAATAGTAAAATATAAAATAAATAAGTAAACTACGATTGGTTGAGAGACGTCATTTGAGATTAATCATAATTACGAAAGATAAAACCGTGAAAATTTTTTCAAAATTACACTTTATAAACTCGTCCTCTTCCTTGCTAGCTTCGCTTATAAGCGCACAAGGGGTAGATCTTGGATCTGAGAGCATTTCGTTTCACTCCATGCCCTATAAAAATGAGCTCCTTTTAGATTCTATTAATTCAAATATTCTCTCGTGCTCTCCTACACATCATCTAACTTTGTTGTTTCCATTTCGCCGCAACTCACTGTCTTCTTCTCGGATCTGATCGCCCTAAGGTTTGTTTACTCTCAATCTCTTATCTGATTGTTGGACTCTGTTTAGATTACCGAGATAATGGATGGAACCTTATACTCCTCTTCTTCTCTACATTTCTCGACAGCCAAACGCGTTGTTTCGATGCTTCTTTTTTATTGGAAGTGCTGGATTTAGGTTTTGAATTTTGATTTCTTGTCGATTTGAAATCAATTTATTGCCTGCCATAGGATTAAAACTAATCTAGTTTTATTTGTATGTCGATTCATAGGTTAAATAATTAGGAGTTGAAGTCGTTAGGTATCACATTTAGGTTCGTGATCTGAATTGAGGGAGCAAAATGATGCTCCTTCTTTCTTTTATCAGAGTGCAGATCTGTTATGGATTTTATGGCTGTTATAAAAACGAAGCTGTCAGATAACATTTTTTAATTTGAATGTTAGATCTGATGGATTGAGATTTGTAGTTGGATAGGAAAACATGGGAACTTTTGCTTTTTGCTGCCAATTTCCACTAAATCCCGCGGGTTTGAAAATTAATGTACCAAAGAAAAATTGTTAATTGCATACTCCTCACCTGAGATCCGTAATATAAATAAAATTTGGTTGACGAATTTTAGTGTAGACATTCATACGGAAGGCTTTTGGTTGCATTTTGTGAACCATCGAAATGAAATGTAAGATGTTTTCAATTCTCTGTTCTTTGTCCCACACTGTCACTGTGTCGCACGAATTGGGAGTGGTTCAGGGTGGACAGACAGTCAGTGATGCTGCAAATGCAGTAGGAAGGGAGCTGCTAAGACTTAGTACTTTGCTTGGCCATTGATAGGTTGTTGATTATTGGTGTTAATCACATATCTTGTTCGATTCATTTATATTATTTGGAAAATGGAAAATGCCAATTATACTTTCCTGACAAACAATTTGAATTTATTTCTCTGTCATTACATTGTCCTGGTTGCCAGTGTGCTTATTTGCTTACTTATTTTTGGTTATATGAAATGAAGCTATCTTGTATCTTTGCCATTGATTTGAATTTCCATTAATTGATTGTATTGCCAGGGAACAAAGAGGAGATGGAGAAGTCCTGTACTCTGCTCATTCACTTTGACAAAGGAACGCCAGCCATTGCCAATGAGATTAAGGAAGCTCTTGAAGGCAATGATGTGCCAGCAAAGGTAGATGCCATGAAGAAGGCAATCAGTCTTTTGCTTAATGGTGAAACACTTCCTCAACTTTTCATTACAATTGTTAGATATGTTTTGCCATCTGAAGACCACACAATCCAGAAACTTTTGCTTCTATATTTGGAGATTATTGACAAAACTGATGCAAAGGGTCGTGTGTTGCCTGAAATGATTTTGATATGCCAAAACTTGAGAAACAACCTTCAGCACCCAAATGAATACATTCGTGGGGTGACATTAAGGTTTCTGTGCCGGCTAAATGAGACAGAAATAATTGAGCCATTAATCCCTTCAGTTCTGCAAAATCTGGAGCACCGGCATCCCTTTATTAGAAGGAATGCTATATCAGCTGTGATGGCTATATATAAGCTTCCCCAGGGTGAGCAACTTTTGGTTGATGCTCCTGAAATGATAGAGAAGGTTCTTTCGACAGAGCAGGATCAATCTGCAAAGAGGAATGCGTTTCTTATGCTTTTTACATGCGCACAGGATCGAGCTGTTAATTATCTTTTGACTCATGTTGATAGGGTTTCTGAATGGGGTGAATTGCTTCAGATGGTTGTGCTGGAGTTGATTCGGAAGGTGTGCAGAACAAATAGGGGAGAGAAGGGCAAATACATCAAGATCATTATATCTTTGTTAAATGCCCCTTCCACTGCAGTTATTTATGAATGTGCTGGGACACTTGTTTCTCTGTCATCCGCACCTACTGCCATTAGAGCTGCTGCCAACACCTATTGTCAGCTTCTTCTGTCTCAGAGCGATAACAACGTAAAGCTTATTGTCCTTGATCGACTCAGTGAACTCAAGTCTTCTCACAGGGATATCATGGTTGACCTTATTATGGATGTGCTTAGGGCTCTGTCCAGCCCGAATCTTGACATTCGCAGGAAGACACTTGATATTGTCCTTGAGTTGATTACAACTCGGAACATCAATGAGGTTGTTCTTATGTTGAAGAAGGAAGTTGTTAAGACTCAGAGTGGAGAGCTTGAGAAGAATGGGGAGTATAGACAAATGCTTATTCAAGCTATTCATTCTTGTGCTATTAAATTCCCAGAAGTTGCAAGCACTGTGGTTCATCTGTTGATGGATTTCCTTGGAGATAGCAACATTGCCTCAGCTATTGATGTGATTGTGTTTGTTCGTGAGATAATTGAAACCAATCCTAAACTAAGGGTTTCTATAATTACTAGACTATTGGATACTTTCTACCAAATACGAGCTGCAAGGGTCTGTTCTGGTGCTCTTTGGATCATTGGAGAGTATTGCCTGTCTCTTTCTGAAGTTGAAAGTGGGCTAGCTACCATTAAGCAGTGTCTTGGAGAGTTGCCGTTTTATTCAATATCAGAAGAAGGTGAAGCCCCTGATGCTTCAAACAAGCCTCAGCAAGCAAATTCCATTACTGTTTCTTCCCGAAGACCTGCTATTCTTGCTGATGGGACTTATGCAACACAGAGTGCTGCCTCTGAAACTGCATTTTCTCCTCCCACCATTGTTCAAGGGACATTGGCTTCTGGGAATTTGAGATCCCTTCTTCTCACTGGTGATTTTTACCTTGGAGCAGTTGTGGCTTGCACTCTGACAAAGCTTGTCCTGAGATTGGAAGAAGTCCAGCCTTCTAAAGTTGAGGTGAACAAGGCATCCACACAGGCATTGTTAATCATGGTTTCCATGATACAATTAGGGCAATCTCCAGTTTTGCCACACCCAATTGATAGTGATTCTTATGATAGGATTCTTCTCTGCATAAGATTACTGTGCAATCCTGGTGATGACATCAGAAAGATTTGGCTGCAATCTTGCCGTCAGAGTTTTGTAAAAATGCTGTCGGAGAAACAGCTGAGGGAGACTGAGGAATTAAAGGCAAAAGCTCAAGTTTCCCATGCACAACCAGATGACCTTATTGATTTCTACCATTTGAAGAGTAGGAAGGTAAGAAAAAATTTGCAATTTTTAGGAATTGAAAGTTCGTTAGTTTCTATTACAATCATTAACATATTTTTTTCTAGGTTCTTTCAAGTTGATGTTCTTTCATAAAGTATTCTGTCTCCTTTTACTTTGTTCTGGAACGATCAGTTGAAAATTTCTTATATTTTCCTTCCTTTGGAATTAATATTTGTTTTCCAACCATTTGAGAACTCATCATCAATTCTAGATTGTTTGATAATTTGAAGGGTTACTCGTTTAATATCCTATTGCAAACACTGACTTCCTCTAAAATCAGGGTATGAGTCAGCTGGAGTTGGAAGATGAAGTTCAAGATGATTTGAAACGTGCAACTGGGGAGTTTATCAAGGATGGAGATGATGCAAATAAGCTTAACCGCATCCTTCAGCTCACTGGTTTTAGTGACCCTGTGTATGCTGAGGCCTATGTCACAGTTCATCACTATGATATTGTACTTGATGTTACAGTTATCAATCGGACAAAAGAAACTCTTCAGAATCTGTGCTTGGAGTTGGCAACTATGGGTGATCTTAAACTTGTTGAACGTCCGCAGAATTATACACTTGCTCCTGAATCTAGCAAGCAAATAAAGGCCAATATCAAGGTGTCCTCAACTGAAACTGGTGTGATTTTTGGGAACATTGTTTATGAGACATCAAATGTGCTAGAGCGGACAGTTGTCGTGCTTAATGACATCCACATCGATATTATGGACTATATTTCCCCTGCAGTTTGTACAGATGCAGCTTTTAGAATGATGTGGGCTGAGTTTGAATGGGAAAACAAGGTACTTTTGCATTCCTTCAACTATCAATTCATACTTTTCTTTTGTTTTAACTTGAAATAAAAAAAAAAAAAAAGCCTTTATGATGTGGGATTTAACACATTTCTTTCTTACTGATCATGCAAAGGTTGATGTGTTGATTATCTTTGCACTGAATTCTGAAGCGTTTATGTTTTTCATCCTTTTGTTCTGACTCTTGTTATTGTTGTTCCCTCTGGACCACAATTTTCATCCTTTCCTGTGTGTTATGGTAACAAACTTGTGTGTTATGATTATCAATGCGTGGACCTTTTCTTTTTTATCTGTGTTAACTTTGGTACTCACCTTTCCTTGAATGCGTAATGGACGCACCTATGTTGAATCCCTCACATCCTTTTGCTTGAAGTGTGCTGTTAATTATTCCTTGTTTTGCTTTAATTTCTGCAATATTCTCTTCTACATTCACTTGTGGCAGACAGCTGGACTCTGATTTCCAATTTTTGTTATAAAATGTGTTTCAGGTTGCTGTTAATACTATAATTCAGGATGAGAAGGAATTCCTTGACCATATTATTAAGTCAACCAACATGAAGTGTCTCACTGCTCCGTAAGTTTTTTCTATTTTGTATTGTATTATTGTAACTGATTGCATGCAGTCTTTCAGATAATATCTAAAGACTTCGTTATGCTTGTTCTTCTTATTGGAGATATCGTGCTTTTGACGTTTGACCAAAGTGTGTTTGGCTGGCTGAGTTTCAGGTCTGCACTGGATGGTGAATGTGGATTTCTAGCTGCTAACTTGTATGCTAAGAGTGTCTTTGGTGAGGATGCTTTGGTAAATGTAAGCATTGAGAAACAGACGGATGGGAAGCTTAGTGGATACATCAGAATAAGGAGCAAGACCCAGGGTATTGCCCTCAGTCTTGGGGATAAGATCACTCTCAAGCAGAAGGGAAGCAGTTAAATGTCAAAAATCAAGAGTATCATTTCCAATCACACTGGTACTCAATTGTTTCCAATCACATTAGTGGCCAATACAGTTATTGACTCGCACACCCTTTTGAGTTGCAAGCCTTGTAATGTTCATGTTTCCTGTAATCTTCTGAATTGATGCAGGTGTTCAGCTTTGGAGCTGAAAGATCGCTACTGGCAGTTTTGTTGTTCACTTTGTACGTAGAAAGAGCACTGCTATTACGCGGTGGCGTTGTTGTATTTGGAGCCATATTTCTAGAGTTAAAGATTGCCGAACAGTGGCTAAATTGGAGCTTTTTTCTTTTTTCAGTTGTTAAAACAGAATTTTTCGCTTGAAATTCTTTTTCTTATAGCATCAAATTGTAAGGCATCTATTTAGTTGAGTATGTTATTACTTGAGAAGAAACTATTGATTTTGATCATTTAACTTTGTATATGGGCGAGCCCTTTCCTTTTGCATGCCTCCTACCTCCAGCTTGATGTGTATTGTTAAGTAAATTGTGGGCTTCTTGAAGTCTCTAAACACAATAATAAGACTTCACTTTTCAAGTCACAGGCTCTGGGACTGTCATTCTGTTTAAAGGTCTCTGTTTATCTATTCTCCCGAACGGATTTAGTGGTGCCTCTAAAAGAGAACGTCTCTGTATATTTTGATGCGTGGTTGCATCTTGGTTTTCGAGGATAGAGCTCTCTTTGTGCGAAGCACTGATGCTAGAAAAGCCTAGTGACATTTTGTCCGATAGCTATGGTTCATTTGCAGGATTTTCCTATCTGCTATGGTGTTGGATATGGTTGTGGCGTTGGAATGTTAGAGCTCTCTTTGGACGATGAAACTATCAGAGTATACTTTTGTGGTAGATAAAGATCTTTGTTTGTTTGGGCTAGATTTTGCAGTGTTATTTTATGTAATCGTCCAGGGCCCGACTAGTCTTCCTATACTCCCTCATTTACGCAATATAATTTCTTTATTTCCAAGTTTTTTTTTTTTTTCAGGCTCCATTTGTAAACAAAAATGCCTTTCATATATATATATATATATATATATAAAAGAAAAAGAGATAAGACCCTGAATAAAATCCTGAACGGTGGCGATCCAATTCCAAACCAATGTAATTTTGTTAACCAATAGAATATAAATCGATAGAATAGCAGAGCAACAAACCAAAATCTTAGATGAATAATATTATTTCAGCAACTCTTACACTACAATTGGTTTATGGATGAATAACAAATAACAATGTTCGCAAGTGCATTACTAATTACTTGCAAAGCTTCAACTTTTTAAAAAACACTGAAACAATGGATTTGGGATAAGGCTTGGTCGCCAGGCAAGTAGGGATGTTTTCAGGCTGTTCTATCCACAGCTTATGTGCAATCCCTCCAGCTTTTAACTTCTCTGATAAGTTCAACATCTGCGCTTCTCCTTTCACTTCAAGAGTTACCTTCCATATCAAAAAAATTAAAAACCTAGCAACTCAGTGTCACAATCTAACCTAAATATGAACCAAACTACAGAGAGATGCAAGTTTCATACCTTGTGCATAGAATCGATGTGTTGAGGGCTACAATACTCGAGAGTGTGAGGATCGTCTTTGTTGGCCCAAATTGCACAAACGGAGGCATGACATCCCTGCGTCACCACACTCCCCAGCGGCCACGTGTCTATTAGGTCTCGCCGCAGCACCACGTACTGCACCACTACATCCTCCGAGTTCTCCTCTTTCGCGGCGTCCTTCTGGGAATCGGCGGCATCTGCCTCAGGTGTCAGTTGACTCATTGAGTTGCAGCCAAGTCGAGTCGGGTAATGCTGATTAAGAGAAACGAGATCTCCAACCCTAGTTTTATTTCTGGAAGGCGTGAAATGGGGGAAGCGGAGAAGGAAGCGACCTGGTGAGAGAAGATTAGTCATTGATGATACGGTTACAGGCAGTAGCACCAAAGTGCTGTGAAATTGTATGGGATGGATGCATCTTGCCCTGAGAAACAGAATATGCCTACGATGGGCCTATTTTGATCTGGGTTAAAATCCTAACAAGAAAGAAGAAAACTTACTTTATGGTCCTTATATTTTATCAAAATAGACTATCTGTGCCCTATATTTTCAGAAATACTTAATTTTGCCAAAGTAACAAAATAATAAATCTTTCAAGACTAAAATTGTATGAATCCCAAAACAAATGTTGACTTTGGACTGATTTTGTTGGAATTGTTTGTTGCTAGTCGGTAGACAGGATAAGTGCTTTGATATTGGCGAATGCGTTGTGCTATGTGCTCAAAGACTAGGAGATCATGTTTAAAAAAACTACTCAAAGCTAAAACAAAAATCAAATAAATATAGAAATTTTGACTTTCTTGTGGTGATGTGATGATATATATAAATACATCTCTCTTTCCCAATTTATCTATCTCGTTAAAGGATAAAATGAATATATGAAAATGCAATCATGGGCTCCCAATATTCATTGGTTAGAAAAGCTGACTATGGTAAAAATAAAAAATAAAAATAAAAATAAAATAAATGGAGAATAGCATTAGATATTTTCATTGTGAGCTGGACAGAGGTTTCTAGTTTTCTAATAATGCCACTTCTGATGCAAAAGAAAAGATATGTTTTTTATGTCTCAAATTATAGAGTTGAATTGAACGGAGAAAAGGATAATAAATCCAAATGTTTGTAAAGTTTTTCCATGTGAAAGATTTTATAAAAATCATTTGATTTCCAACCTAGAGAAATTTGGTCAGGACAAAGACATCTATCTCATGTGCACATATTCAACAGATCAAAAAGGCAAGTGTTTCAGATAAAACATCAAACACTCTGAATATCCACATGAGAAATTCCCTTTTTCTTTTCAATTACATAATATAAAAGATCAAGATAAGATTTGCTCCCAAAAAAAAAAAAAAAGATCATAAAAGATCTAAAAAAAAAAAAAAAAGATCATATACATGATTATGAAATGGTACATTCAATAAGTCATCATTCCCAGTTGGCACGCAACCTTCTCTAGATTTAAAAACCAAAGTATATAAAAAATAAAAAGATACCTTGCCATTGTATTTCATTTGTTATAAGAATTTTTTTAAAAACAATAGTAGATGTATAATTGCTCCTGGTCAATTCCCAAGCTGAAAAGTCAATCGTATCCTTATCTAAACGTATTCACAAAGAGGATATTTCTGTCTTTTTCTATTTACGGAGTGCTCGTTTCAGGCGCCCATAACAAAATATACCATCCCAATTCTCCAATGCATCGTCAGCGCACAAGAAAATAAATAAACAAATGAATTTTTAGGATTTAAGATATATTTATTTATTGATGAGTTAAAACTTTTCCATCAACTGGAAAATAGGAGCAAAACTATATATCTATATATATATATATATATATTATATATATATATATATTTAATTTCAAAAAACAAAAATAAACGAAAAAAAAAAACCAAACGAATAATTTTGTTATTATATTTTTCTTGTTGCAGATCTGCAAGGAGAAAACAACTATGGCACTGAAAACTATTTTTTGGAATTTTCTAGCTTTGCCAGTTTTGACAGTTTTTGGTTGTTGGCGTCAGATGATGAAGTTGGACTTTGCTTCGTCTCGTCTTTCTTCTTCTATGTTCAGGAGCCATGATCGGTCTATATATAATTTCAAAAACAAAATAAAGAAAAAAAAAAACTAAACGAATAATTTTGTTATTGATATTGTTCTTGTTGCAGATCTGCAAGAGAGAAACAACTATGGCACTTGAAACTATTTTTGAATTTTCTATCTTGCAGTTTTGACAGTTTTGGTTGTTGGTCAGATGATGAAGTTGGACTTGCTTCGTCATCGTCTTCTTCTTCTTGTTCAGGAGCATGATCGTCTTCTTCTTGTTCATTCAAGGCAAGAAGAGGCATCGATTTGGGATTTCGCCAACTATAAAATGAGGATTTCCTAGACCACTTGGTTGCCATTAGTATTCTCCTCCTCTTATTGAATGGATTCTCTGGTTTTTCCAGATCTTTCACTGTACTCACGATGCTCATGTCTGATATATTCGCAAATGATTTGGATTTTCCAGCGAAATGATTTGATAATCCTCTCCTGCAATCACGCACAATTTTTACTTAATTAACTTTTGAACCCCCAAATTTATTTAAGACAATCAATCAACAGAAAATACTAGTTAAGACTCACTTAATGGGAAGAGACTCTTCCAGAGAGTCTAAAGAACCCAAACCTCCTTTCGATGAAAGTACGCTATTGACCTCCTCTTCATCCTCTTCACTATCATCCGGCGCTCCAATCGACGACGAATTATCCGATGAATCATCCGGTCCATTTATCTCAATACCAGACCCGATCCTGCTTGAGATCATGCCCTGTGCTACATCGTTATCATCCTCCTCCTCCTTCAAGAAGATGCAAGGCGCTGCAGCAGAAGTATGGTGCTTATCCTGAGACGGAGGAACCACGTACGGCGTCGGAGAGGAAACCTCGATGCTGAAGGTGGGACCGACTAAGATCTCCATTATCGCAAACTGTAAACAGAGACTGGAACTAATACAAAACACGTTTTGTGACGAGTTTACCCTTCTCCTCTTCGTCTTCTCTTTCTCTTGGGTTCTAGATAGGGCTTTGTTGTCATTAATCGACAGGAAGAAGCAAGAGAAAGAGGCAGAGATCGGTGAAGATTAAACAAGAGATTTGAAAGGAGTGTTGATTTCCATTTTTTAAATTTTCCACCCTTCTTCCCTTTCACGGAGGAGATAGAGAGAGGGAAAGAGAGAGATGAGAGTTTACAGAGAAGGAAAGAAAAGATAAAAGAACATAAAATGAGAATACGCAGACCAGAGACATATATTTAATACAGAGAGAGAGAGAGAGAGAGAGAATGCAGTAAGTGGTATAAAACTACGGCTGATATACATTTATACGGATAACAATACTCTATGGGCGATGTTATTACAAATGGAGGAAAGAAAAAAATTTAACATCCGCCGCCGGCGTATTAGCTTGTTAGCTTTGACACGTTCGCGATGACGTGTCATGGACAGTTATAAGATATTGGGCCATTATCTGATTTTCACCACTCAAATAACTGCTCTTAAACCAACATGGGTCAGCAGGATATATTATTATGATATGTCCAACTCCGCACCAAACAGATATTCTCTCACACAAAAAATAAATTAAATATATAAAATTTAAATTGTATCGATAACAAATACATAGAATTATTTTCTATATCTAATTTTTATAATTTTACGAAAAATGAAAATGGTATTTTAACCAATCGACTGGTGTGCATGACTGCATTGAACAACAACTGGCAATGGTGAAAAAGGTTAAAAAAAAGGAAGTGGGCTCAACCCAAATCGTACGGATCGAATATTGAAACGGGTTATGATGATCCAGTTGTTAATTTTAAAAAACAAGTTGTGATTAAAAAGCCAAAATGGAAGGTAACAAAGCATAAAATTAAAAAATTAAAATAAAGCTTTGCAATGCATTTTAAGGACCCCACACATGTCCATTGACAAGAAATGTCTTCCGACCCCACCATTACCAATTTTAATTTCTTAATTTTTCTCATTAAGCAGACAGATATTCTAATCTATCCTTAATAAACAAGTAATTAATTAATTAATCAAGCTTTTATTGGAGGAAATTAGGTCAATGCCAAGAATGACCAATGGGTGCACTCTCGCTCCGCCTACCCACCTTATCTATTAGATAAACTAGTAATTTTTAAATAATTAATATTATAATATAAAGAGACAGCGCTTGGAATCATCATTTGGATTATAGATAACGGATCCTTCGTCTACCCCAGTAATCTAGTATGGGGCCAAACTTGAACGACCGGATCACTAATCCACAAATCTTTCTTCTTTCTTGAGAAAAATATTTCTCATTCGTGCAAATTATAAATAATCCAGTATATGTATAACTAGTAAGGTTACAGTAAGGAATAAAATTAAAAAGATATATTTGAATAGTCAACCTCTAAATAAAAAGGAATCATCCCCGAAGGAAAAAGAAATAAATCTGCACGCCAATGCGAAGAAATGGGATGGAGACTTGACAAGAAAAATGGTTGGTCGAAGTGGATGCAAAGTCAAGATTATCTATCTCTCTTTAGAATAGGATTTGACTCGTATTTAATTAAAACGACATGCACACAAGTCAATCCTCATGGTTGATAACACTATTCTGTTTCTGGAAAATCTTTAGTTGATGGAGGATTAACAATCTTTTGTTCTAACTTTCTGATAAAATTAAATGATCCTGATCTTTCATTATCTTCTTTCTCATGGACTGCCAATTGGGTTTTACATTTTGTTTCTAACAAATAGACACAACAGTCAATACTTCTAATTCTCGATTTGGGCCAGAAGCTATTTAGTGGAAGGGTAATTGGGTGTGTTATGGGCTGTTAAGCTGCAGGTACACAACGGACTACCCATATGGATCACTATTCCTCTTAAGGTCTATTCTTCCAAATTTCAAGCCATTGGCATTTGGCAGAGAAAGGAAGGATGTTACTGGCTACAACATGGGCAAGGAATCAAAAAACTACTGTCCCAGATGTAATTCCAAAAGACAATCAATGTGGAAGAGAAAAATGCATATAGGAATACAATTTACAACCATGGAATGCAAACTATATTAGGATGGAAAAATTAAACAGGTCCTTCAATCTGGAGTTATTCAAAGAAACAGAAACTGTCACTATCATACTAATTTGTTGAACTACAGACTCTCTCTGTCTTTATTGTATATATATCAAAAGAACAAATATCCTTCCTAAAGTACTGATGCCACGAGAAGCTAAAGAATCTCTTGTTTAAAAATAGAATTATGGATCCATCAAAGCATTTGAAACAGATCTTGTAAGCATATATAATATAAACAATGAAGAATTCTATTACGTCAAATGAAAACTACATGAATGACCATATAATTTATTGCCTACGGTGTGCTTTTCCACCTTCTAGCAGACTCAAGGGCTGTAGTACAATTGCGACAATGGCATAGGATAAATATCCATTAAGGACCCCCACACACACTTACTACCATCCCAGCTAGACCTCTAATTGCTCTTCATATCAAAGAATGGTACATGAAATCTAGCACACAGAGTTTTTACAGCCTGCTTTTTAATAACTTAATGAATCAGTAAAAATGATTAGCTATACCTCAGTATTATCTACGATTTTTGGCAAGGCACATATATGCTTTCACGGGATACCATCAATTTGCAGAATCCTCCAAGGAATACAATAGTTTGTGTCGATTTTAAACAGCTTAAGAAATTTCTCCTCAGGCATTTGACTGAAAGAGCTGGCAAGAGGAATTTCCTTTCCTAAAAGGAAGATTCAACGACACAGTTCTAGGCCCATAAGGATACTGATATGTACACAACAAGAATTGACCCCTTATCAATATAGGCGGATGTTTGAGTGTAGTTTCCTTCTAGCTGAACCATCATAAGGGATGGCAGTTGGACTATCAAACAACTGCAGATGCTGTACGACGCAGATCTGGTACCCCATCGTTGAATTTGTCATTGGGCTGCCTGCCTTTGAAACTTCCATATCTTCCTGGCCTTGGTTGAAAAAGCGAGGACAGCATTTGCTCCAAAGTCTGCACAGAGTATTTTGCATATTTACCGGAGCTTCCATCCTGCTCAACTAAGGGCCCATAGTTCTGCATATAACTTCGATAAACAGGCACCACTGCCTGCACTATCAACTGACACGTCTTCTCCCTGAGGTCTCTCTCTGGCACAATCCAGTTTGACTGTTTCTTGTACATTTCATCAAACGCTTCATTGAAAGTTTTCAGCCTTTTCTTGACAAGATCACGAGCAGTTGCGCGCCCACCTGAGAAAAGAATAAGACCTTCCCTACTTAAATTACCTGGAAGCTTGCCCCAACTGTCCCTTAAGAAGATTGTAGCATAATAGTCTTTGTACTGTTCATGTTCTCTTAACCAAGAATCCCCTAAGAGATCCCCCAGTTTTGTTCCTTTTAAATGCTTGTACAAATGATAGTGGTTGTTCATAGCAAAAAGGTTTGATAGTATGCTATCTTCATAAGCCTTTGTCCAAGTCTCCAAATTGAGCTCAATGGCTTTCATTATGTTCAGCAACTCCGTAATAAGAAGCCTCTCCTGAAACCTTTCATGCTTCCAACTTCGGTGAATTATCAGAACCTGAGCCAGAATAGGTTTGTAGTCATCCCCAAGCAGCTTATTACAATAATCAGTGATAAAGCTTACTAGTATTGGAACACCACCATCTGTGGGAGGGGGAATCTGCCTCTGCAACTCAACCTGAACCAGAAGTTCCCAGAAAATCTCGGCTGCCCCATCAACCACCCTCTTAATTAGATCCCTCGTAAGGTTTTGGATCTCAATACAAGCTGCTCCACCAAAAAGTCTGTTAAAATCCAGCCTTAACTTGTTCAAAGATGCAAATATATCCAACAACTTCAAAAGCTTGATTGGGTCTTTTTTACTATCTGTGACGGTCTTCCCAAATTGAAGAAATGCCAGAATACCTGCTTGAGCAGCAATCTTTGCAAAACATCCCATCCAAACATCCAATCCAATCCTCTCAAAGACATCATTACACAACTTGTACTCTGCCTCAAACAAATGCTTTACAGCAAACTCCAGATGCCTGCCCCACTGTGCTATGTAGCCCTCTATGCTCTGCACATCATTGAATTCAGCTATTGATATTTCAAGATAATCCAAATCAAGGGCCTGCAGACTAGCTCTAACATTTGAACCACGTACTTCAACATAGATTGATATGCACTTTTCAAGTCTATTATTAGCAATCAACCTCCCAAGAATGGCTTGCAACTTCTGAATAACAGTTACAGGTAATGGCGATGGTGCAATCACGGCCTGTTGACCCAAGGATGAAGGTGATGACATTGGAAGTGGTACACTGTGTTCTGTCAAGAGACGCCTAAATTCACCTTCCAATTTGTCTAATGCAGCATCTAGAAGTCCACCGTCAAGGTGAGCCTTTCGATCATCATTTTGAAATTCCCTAAGACTCTTCAATGACTTCTTCAAATTCAAAAGATACCGTTCATCTGCCACAGAATTGTCCTCCAAGTACTCAACTATATCCTCCAACCACTGAATTGCCAATCCACAATTATCCCCTAAAAACCTCAATGCCTCCTCAAGGCGCTTCAAAACAGAAAGATACCCGGGAAGATCATTTTTTGGATCTGATAAAAGAGACTTTTCTAGCCCATGAACTGCATCAAAAACCTTAAGCACCGCAGCAGCAGGACCCACAGCACGGTTAATGTGGCCCCCAACAGCAGCAAGGGCGTCCTTGTCGGCACGAATAGGGCGCACAGCCGCCTCTAAAGAAGGCAATCTCTGGTTAATTTCATCCAATCTAGGCCCTGCTTTCTGAAGAGCAGACCCCAAGGCTTTAGACTTCTCCAAGCTTAGCTTCAATGACTTCCTTGCAGCTAACAAATTCTGAATCCGATCTTTATCGTCGCCATTATCATTAACGGAATCCCCCATTACAATTCCCCAAATTCTCTAACTTAAACTCAATTCCGAAAGATCAAAAAGCTCTGAACTTTGAATCTCACTCAATTATTAAAATAATAAGCTGAAAAGCTAGGCGGAATCAAGATTTGATTTGTTTAACTAAGAATGATCCTGTGATCGGGTAGTTGAATTAATCGAAAAATGATGATTAAATCAACCTGGACTTGAACAAGAACAAAACTTCATTTCAATACCCTTTCGGGTTTCACCAAAATAAACCAAACCAAAAATCCAATCAAGCAAAATAGCTAATACAAAAATCCAAAACTATCAAATTGAAGAGAAGTATGTTCAAGGTAGATAGGAAAAACGCAAGATAAGTGAGAAAGAGAACTCACTCGAAAAAAGCGGTCAAAGTTTGGAGCTTTTAACAGTATATCTTGAAAGAACGAGTTGACCCGGTGAGAACGATAAAACTGGAGAGGAGAAGAACAGTGTAAGAATCTGAATCGATGGGTTCTGGATTCAGAAAGAGAAAGAAAAACCCTAAAATCTCACGAGAGAGAGGGAGAGAGAGAGTTTTACAATTTTTTTTATTTTAAATTTCCGACGCAGTAATGCCAAAGTGCTTGACAGTAAGGCAAAAGCTACTGTATTGTGGCCTTTTCTTAAAAAAAATTTCAGTAATTGTACTTATCTTTTAATAAATCCATGAATTATTAGGTAGTATCTCAATGACTTTCTTAGATTAGCCTCTTAAATTGCACTATATCTTATATAAGAAGGAAGGATTGCATTTATTCAATTTCGTCTTTTTTTTTAAATAAAAAAGATGAAAATAAAAACTTGTAAGAGAGCGTTGAGAAAGACTAAAGTGGAGTCCTTATTAATTAAGCTTGCACATGTATGGGTTTTGATGTACACGTGGCTTTAATGCATAGGATTCATAACATGTGATGAAGCGTTTATTAAATAAATTTTTACCTTTTTAATACTATAATTCAAACAAGGCCTTCAATAATAATTACTATTAACACTTTTTGTTTTACAATTTGGCAGCTTAAAAAAAAAAAGGTTGATTAGTTAATTGACTTTGACCCGAAACTCACAAGCAACACTTATAACACGGAAAAGTTTGCTGTTAGGAATCACACGAGTGCTCTCCGTCGTAATTCCATATTCCTGTAAGAGGCTTTCATTTAATTGAAATGAGGCCCAATCAAACCAGTAGAAGTTAGTATCCGTAAAATGGGTTGTCTCCGGGCCCAAACACAAGTGATTTTCTAAAACTTATAGCCCAATTGAAACTTGAGAAGGTGTGCTATTTACACTTACAACCCAGTCGGCGTCGGAGCAAATTCCACGGGTCCTGAAGGGGCAGGTCTAAGTTGTAACTTGTAACTAAAGCCCAATAAATAGGAGTGTTTTACGGAGAATTCGTGCGGTCAAAACTGAAAAGAAGGTTCACGTTCTTCTTCTTTTTCTTCGCTTGTTGTTCAAAATTCCGGAACGGTTAGCTTGACCATCTAAAACTAATAAAAGGTCATCATGTTCTAATTCTACAGACTAGCTAATAATGTCGCCTTCCGGGAAGCGAATTTTCCATGATTGCTCATAAAAATGGTCGTTTATTGCGTGTCTTCCTCCAAACCAGGTGATACTGGTGCCTGTAATAGGATGCGTAGAAAGTTCAAACTTCAATGTTTGAAAGGATGGTGGCTTTGAAATTTGAATTCAACTTTGAGAATTACAAATAGATAGCTCAAGACAATGACCTCAATTGATTTGGTAATACCGATTCAAGAATTATAAAAATAACAGAAGAAATAATAAAGCTACAAAATAATTAATTTTTAATTTACTTTTCTGTTTTAACACTGGTCCGGCAGTCGGAGAATCTTCCCATCTATCTCCTTCCAATTGCAATTTAGAAAATTTACAAGTCTAATTCAACCACCTCCACTAAAGTCTAAGTCCTCGCTATCCTACCCTATTTGTTTATTATCTTTCTCTCTGTATTTCTCTATCTCAATGTGACTCGAACACTAACCCCACTACGCCAGCAGCTAGGTTCTCCTGCATCGCGGTTTGAACATGATGGTGCTCCCCCTCGTATGTCACAATCAGCATCTTTGGATCGTCATTGGCCCGTTCAACGTGCTTCCTTGCTGGGCACCCTCTTACAGTACTACACTTGTAGTATCCCCTATAACAAACAAACAAATTAAGGGTCAATCTACCGTCCGATCTCTTGCAAATATAAGATCATCAGTTATAAATGAATGATCAGGATAGTTACCGTGGGTATGGTGATCCCTTGATTGGCTTTTGACCATACTTTCTCCAAGAGTACTCATCCGGTGGAATATCGGCGATTTTAGAACTAATCGCTGGAACTCTAATTGTTTTCTTTACTCGATTTTTCCTGAAATTAAGTGAACAAATAGGATATTATTATCAACATCAACTATAATGCCCATATGCTGCTATAGTGAGCCGAGTTGTCAACGGTCAGAGTTAAGATATTCGTCGCCTAAGCAACCGCAGATGAAGACAAAAACATTTTTTAAAGCACCCATTTCAAACATTTTTCTTGTTTGAGTAACCCATCTAGTCTGCTCCTATAATTACGCACTTGGAAAAGTGCAATCCTCTCGGGTCTCCATCACGCGTGCTGTGTCAAATTAATACTACAGTGTTCAACCACTAACTCGTTGACCCAAGCCCGAAACAATTTTACTGTTCCGAATCGTATTTAACTCGGACTACTCGCATAAAACTCAACTGAGTCAGTGTCGGAGTATTTCTAATCCGACACTTCTCTGTCCATTTATGGTAGGCCATCATTCACCATTGACTAAAGATTTATGAATTTTGACTCTTGAGTGAGTGAGGGGCTACCATACTTGCAATGAGTTAAATGAGTTAACTCGCTCAAGTCAACTAACTAGTGCCAGTCAAAAAGTAAAAGACAAATTTAGGGCACTGCTAAAATACGCCCTGATATAAGATTACCACGCACCTTCTTTTGGAGCAATGGCACTTGCCGCTGGCGGATCCGGATAATTTTCCGGAGAGATCGTCGGAATGATCGTGCTCGTGGCACCTCTTCTTGTTGTACGGACCCGATGAGAGCGGGGGCTTCCCGCCGGAGACAGCCGGAGCCAAGAAGATCGAGGATCCTTGCTTCCCATTCGAAACGCTTCCTTCTCCAGTTATAGCTGAAGACATAAAGGACGAGCTCGAGCTTAAGCTCTCTTTATTGAACTCTAGCTCAGTGCTTTTACCGTTAGAGCTAAATATGTTAGGTTTTGTGAAGTCAAGAGTCAAACTCTGCGGCTGTGACTGAACAAAGCTCACTGGAGCCGCGATCGGAGCCGGAGGAGCAGTCACGGGTTGGTTGACAGGTGGCGGATGCACAGTAGCAGGAGCTGCTACGGGAGTGGGAGATAAGGTTGAAGTTTGAGAGCGAGAGGAAATACCAGATGGCAGCGTTGACAAGCAAGGGGAGGCAGAAGGAGGAGATTGAACCGGTCCGCGTCTGAACCGGGCGTGACCAGTCCGATTGAGAAGAGAGATGACCTTTTTGAACTTGGAGACGGTGATGTCAGTGAGGTCACTGCAATCCACGTGATTAGATTGGTGAGACATGAGGCGGATCAGGTGCTCCATACTCTTCAAGCCTTGTGATGCGGCCTCCTGTATAGCCATCTGATCTTCCAGTTTTGTGAAACTCATAAGCTCAACTGCCATCTTTAAGACTTGTAGGTAGAACAGAAAACTACTGGTGAGAAACCTGTGGGCTTAAAAAGCCATCAAAGCTGAGGACGCAGAAAGCTTTAGGAAACAAAGAAAGAGGAAGAGTAAGGGGCAAAGGCCACAACAAGGGGGTGATATAGGCGAAAGGAGTGACTGGATGACCGGGTAAGCGATGAGAGAGAAAGAGAGGAGCGAAGTCAAAGAGCGTTTAATATCCGACGGCTGAGATTAGTTTGAAAATTTCAAAGAGATGATGGGTAATAAAGAAATGGAAGACCAAACCGAAAACCAAAAAAAAAAAAAATCCTATGCAAGAGTGGATGGTGGGGCCCATAATTGAAAATTGTAATCAGCTGTTGTTTTGAATATTTCGTGGTGAGAAAAAGTGTGTTTTACTATAAGACTTTGTGAAAGCTGAAAATGAATTATGTTTATTTGTCTAGATAAATATTCGATTGAATTTTTTAATCAAAAATATGATTAATATTTTTTAATGAATTTGTGAGTTTTTTAAATCAATGAACTTAATAATACCATTAATATTTTCAAAAAATAAAAATAATAAAATTAACTAGCAGTATTTTAAAAAATATATATCCCTGAACATGAATTGAAATTTTTATTACTTTTATATCCCTAAAGACCTCTCCACCGCAAGAGTGCAACTTGATGAGTAAAGGTAGAAGATTACTTTTTGTATGGATTGCAATATTCTTTCGATCTGTTGGGTCTCATAATAAATTAAAAAAAATGAAATAATAACCCTTATTTTAATTATTTTTATATAAAACTCTTACGACACTTTACTTAAAAAGTCCATTCAACTCGTTTTGATTTATTCAACAGGTGTGTTTTTATATATGTAGGAGAATTTTCATTCATTCAACAGATTAAAGAGCATGTCAAAAGTATTATAAGCCTCAACTTCTATAGTCTTACCCCCCATAAAGGTGCTGATGCAATTCATAAATAAAACTTTTTTTTTTCTCTGTATATTGGTCAAATAAATACATGTTGTTATCATTTGAAGGCCTCCTCTTTCCTTAATTTTCACTTTTTGCTAGATTATTAAAAATTATTATAATATTTTAGGAATATATTACCTTATTAGTCAATTATAAGTACTATCAATTAAGTCAAGCCACCTTAAGATACATTCACCTAAATATAAAAAAATGAATGATGCATAAAAAATTATGTTCTAGAACATATGATTAAAATAGGATTGATTTTTTATATTGTTCAAATTATAATCAAACCAGAGATTGACAAAAGTTTGGATTAAGATTGGTTTAAAAATAATTAATTTTAAATTTAAATAGTCACTAATTTACCGTTAATTTTGATTAAGAATATTATAATTAAAAATAAAAATTATTATTGTATATGTACGACTAATGATGGATTATAAAAGGTGAAAAGAAAATAAATTACAATAGCAAGTTAAAGAAAAACAAAGCTGACCAAAAGCGGGGATCACGTGGTGCCATTTCCTTTATTATGTAATCTGAAAATGTTGACTAACTCCTTTTGTTTTCTGATGACCGGGTTTTGCCGGTAAAATCCTTCTTCAATCGTTCGATTTTTCTTGTTCTAATCTAACGGTACACATGCGACTGAGAGAGTTGACTACGATTTATCTATTGTCGAGAACCTCGAAGTGGTAAGACTATTTATATTTTGCCACGTTGCTCGGAGTTTAATTAGGCCTGGAAATTAGCTGGTGCCAATTCAAGTGGATATATATAATTTTTATTTTTATGTATCTCCTGGAGCAAGATTTCTTTTCGCACGAGTATAGATAAATAATTAATATAATAAAACATAAAACTGAAAATAATAGTTAATGGAATTTTGAAATTATAAAAATGAAATTTATTTTAAGATAAAAAAATCGATATTTATTTTTGAAATTAAGAGAGAAAAAAAAAAAACTAAAAGTCATGGGGAAAATAAATATAAATATTCTGTTAAACAGTTTGACAAATCTACAAGATCTCATTAAAATAAATCAAATCAGTATTAAAAAAAAAAGGGGGAGCACTTACAGAATTGTCAACTGAATGCGAAAATAAATATAAATATATAAATAAATATAAAAAACGTGTGAGTTGACACGACCAGGTGAGATTACTGGTCGGCCCACGTTTTTTTTTTTTTTTTTTTTTCTTCTAATATAGTCTTACCCCCCTATAAAGGTGCTGGCAATTGCAAGATTCGATAAATTAAAACTTTTTTTTTTTCTCTGTATAATTGCGGTCCCAGAAAATGATGAAATACATGTTGTCTATAGCATCGTTGAAAGGCCTTTGCCTCTTTCCTTAATTTTCACTTTTTGCTAGATTATTTAAAAATTAATTTTATAATATTTTAGGAAGTATATTACCTTATTAGTCAATTATAAGTAACTAATCAATTAAGTTCAAGCCACCTTAAGATACATTCCACCTAAATATAAAAAAAATGAATTGATGCATAAAAAAATTATGTTTCTAGAACATATGATTAAAAAATAGGATTGATTTTTTATATTGTGTCAAATTATAATCAAAGCCAGAGGATTGTGACAGAAAGTTGTTGGATTAAGATTGGTTTAAAAACCTCAATTAATCCCTTTAAGATTTAAATTAGTCCAGCTAAGTAATTGTACCAGCTTAATTTGTTGCCATTAAAGAAGTTAAATTATAATTAAAATAAAAGTAATTATTATGGTGTATCACTGGCTACGACAATGATGGCATTAATAAAAGGTGGAAAGATGTAAATAATTACATAGCCAGTTTAAAGAAAAACAAAGCTACCAAAAGCGGGGATCACGTGGTGCCATTTCCTTATTATTGTAATCTTGAAATGTTGACTAACTTCCTTTTTGTTTTCTGATGACCGGGTTTTGCCGAGAAAGGTCACAAATCCTTCTTCAATGAACGCTTCGATTTTTCTTTGTTCGTAATCTAACGGTACAGCATGCGACTCGAGGAGAGTTTGACTACGATTTATCTGATTGTCGATTTGAAACGCTCAAGTGGTTAAGACTATTTATATTTTGCCCACGTTGCATCGAGTTTAATTTAGGGCCTGGAAATTAGCTGCGTGCCAATTTCAAAGTGGATATATATAATTTTTTGATTTCCTACTTGTATCTCCATGGAGGCAAACTTTTCTTTCGCAACGAGTAAGATAAAATAATTACATTTAATAAAAGCAATAAAACGTGAAAATAATATGTTAATTGGAAATTTTGAAATTATAAAAATGAAAATTTATTTTAAGGATAAAAAATCGATATTTTATTTTTGAAAATTAAGAATGAGAAAAATAAAAACAACCTAACCACACTATCGGCCGGAATGAAGAGTAAATATAAATATTCTGTTATAACAGTTATGACAAAATCTACAAATCTCCATTAAAATAAATCAAATCAGATTAAAAAAAAAAGGCGGAGCACTTAAGATATTGGTCAACCGCTGATGCCCAAAAAAGATGAAAATAAGTAAAATATAGAGAGATAAGATATAAAGATATACGTCGGTGAGAATGACTACGACCAGGTGAGATTTACTGGTCGGCCCACGCTTTTTTTTTCTTTTTTTGGAGAAAGACCCTAATAATATATTTCCAAAATTAGACACACTTAAGTGTCGCGTGGTCCTTGAGGAAGATACCGAAACGCCCCACCAAAGAACAATGAGGTAACCAAAGTTGACTGGATACTTCCATATTTTATAATTTGAGGCGGAAAAGGAAAAATATTTTTTTTTTTTTTTTTTTTTTGGAGGAAAGACCTTAATTTTTGAAAATTAGAACATTAGGTCGTGGTCCTTGAGGAACAAATAGTAGAAGTGATGGATACATATTTTATAATTAGGGAAAAGAAAAGTAGTATGTGATCGTATACTATTATTATTCAGTGCAATTTGCTTTTTGTAAGAGTTGACCTTGCTTCTGTCCTCCCCTCCCCAAATTATTGTTAGGCTTACAACTTGTACAATCTACAAAGTATAGCTAGAAAATGCATTCTATAACATAATACGAAGTTTGAATTTTTTTTTTTTCTGGATATTTCTTTTTAAAAAATTACATCTTGGATCATACGTCTGTTTTAGGAAATGTAAAAATAATTTATGGAAAGACTTTTTTTTTTTTTTTAAATTGAATTTGGAAGAAGCAAGAATATATGATCACATTCATGAATCTGGAAGCTCATTTGTTAAGCTTTTGATATGCGTTCACCACATAATAATAATTGACTTTTCTTTGTTATATAAAAACAATCAAAGCATAACAAAGACAGCATATAAAACAACCATTTGAGATTCGATTCTCTATGGATAAAATGTAAACATTAAAAAGATTATGGTGTTTCAATGTTACTGATTATTTAGATTTTTGGGTATGCGCATAATGTTAGTGGTCCTATCAATTATACACTCGAATTATCAGTGATAAAATTTACTAGATTTAATTCATTCCTCTGTAGATAAAAATCTTTTCAGGTGACTCAATATTAAAATATGTAGATTCGGTTTTGATACCATATTGATAAATGGATTAGGTTAGAGCCAAATTCACTCTCCAATCAAATAGTGTCAATTGCCGAAGTCTTATATTTTAAATAAACGCTTTATTTCAAATTGATATGAGATAATAATTGGTATCTGATATTTCTATAACACCAATTATATATATATTTAAAATATAATTAGGGTATACTTAGACCATACATGAGATATATTTTTTGTTAAAATATTAAATTATCATAAATAATAATTATTTTAATTTTTTACATTCAATAATTAATATAATATATTCAAATTTTAATTTAAACTTATCTTCAAATTTATATTATAATTTAAATATAAAATATTATTATATACAAAGCAAATCAGTTGCAGATCTCTATATTCCTCTTGCACGATCGTGATGTATCTTGAATATAAATATATAATATGATGAAGCCAGAACAGTGCATGTACTCAATTGCTACAGGATTTATTGATTGACCAAATTAAACGTCGTTTGCTTATGATCAGCATTCATTATCTTTTGCCTTTTTTTTTTTTTTTTTATTTCCCCAATTATTCTTACGGAAGAAATATATAATATATATATATAATTATAATATATATATTATTATATTATATATATATTTATATATTTTAAAAGTCAAAACTAATGGAATGAATTGAAAACCTTTTACCTGAGAAAAACAAAGCATATATTCCTCTCGTTTAATAATAATTAAAAAAAAAAAAGAAAAGAGAGAGAAAGTGAGATACAGAATAGCACGCATTGTTTGACTTTGATAAAGTAATAAAGCAAGTGGAAATAAACAGTAAATCTGCAGATTAATCAACATGATTAAGGATAATTAAATTTAAGTGAGTGCCTAATTATTCTTTGTGTTAGGCACGTAATTCTTCAAGTCTGAAATACTAATTAATTTATTAGTGAAGTTGTAACGAAATCAAAGATAAGAATCAAGAAGCATGAAGGCTTCTACTTTCTACCCACCTATATATTTTCTTATCTTCTTTTCTTTAAAAAAAAAAAAAGAAAAAACATTACAAGAAATTTTGACTGTTCAAAAACATATGGCACCATTAAAAGATAGAGATAAACACAGGCAAATTGACATTTTAGTTACATTTTTCTTGCAAAAAAACTAATTTTTATCCATTTTATATATACTTTTCCTTTTTTTTTTTTTCCCAATCTTAGTATAATTTTCAATTTAATGAAACAGTTGTGATTCATATTAATATTACTCGATCTGCGACGAATATATAAATTTAACCATAAAATAAAAATAATTCATTTAACAATATTTCCCAATGTATATATAAAAAAAAAACTCACTTATCAAACCTTACTAATATTAAAATAGTAATAATTCATTAAAAGAAAAAGGCTGTAGAAACCACGGCTTGGGCCGTTGGGCATCTTACTCGATCCAAAATCAGGTTCAGCCCAATGCCGACTCACGGACAACCCTGCATGGGCCTACAACTAAAATTTGTTATATTTAAAATTTTGGGCCAGATCCTTTCAAACACAATTCATACGACGTTCTGACCCCGTAATCATAATTCATGCATTGGGCTTAAGGCCTGTTAATGTAATGATATGTAGTTCATTTTAATAAGACAAACACTTGCAAGTATCACGTGTTGAAATGCATTTTTGAACCTTCCCTCTGTTGGACATTTGGATGGATACTGCAAACTGGATACTGGATACTGGGTATGGATCAATCCAAAGATCCGTCTTGGTTGTTGGGTCACAAACATTAATGAGTTAAGAGTAGCATTACCCATTTCTGATTTGCTTACAACACGTCCTGGCCTGGCCGGTAACCAGTGTTGTACCAAACAGTGATTTTCCATTTGTATTTTCCGCGACACTTCACCTGCAAAGGGGAACTGAGTTGGCGTTAGATCTAAGATTAACGATTCAAACCTAACGTTCTTTAGAAACTAAGCAATTGACGCCAACAGCGCCTCTAATCACCACCGCAACACCGACAACTAGATCCAAACAGAGCCGGGGTATGCTTCATTTATTCATTCTAACTTTTCTACTGTCCCGTAAATCAGTCCGTTTCGTTTAATTCGGGAATGAGTCTGCTATCAAATTAATTTTTCTACATTAGGTTTCTTTGTTGTGATATTTAAGATTTTTGAACTTATTGTTTGTTTGGTATCTTAGAAAATGTTGCAAGTGGGGCGAAATGCAAGCGTTTTGATTACTAGCTGTTCATAGAAACTTTCACTTGATAGGCCTGTAATAGCTGTGGTGTAACTTCGCCGGGTTGAACGGTCATAGGGTTGCACCGACATGAATATATTTTTGTATCCATTGTTATTTCTATTAAGTTTCTTGGTAACCCAACGGAGATCATGGAGTTGGTTTTCTTTTTGTCCATTAGGAGGGAGGATTTAATGGTGATTGAGACTTGGAGGAGGAGGTGATAGGCGAGGAGTTTGGTTGCGAAATCAGTGGATTGGATGGACAAGAATAAGAACCGTACTGATATGCTCGCTGCTGGTCGTAAAAAGGTATACTGTGCTTTTGCTCTTTACATTGATTGTATAGGAGCTTTTTTTGTGTTATTCATTTCATAGAAGTTCAATTGTTTTAGTATTAATGGACCCTTTACTCTCCTGATTGGTTATTTACGAATTCTGCAAAATGAGAAGTAATGAGGTGGAATTCTTGGTATTATTTGTTGCACTAGGGTGCAATATGTTACTGGGATGATGATTAATTTCTTCTTTTTCCATTTTTTTGTATCCTCATGGGAATTGGAGAAAAAACTTGACATTTATTTAATGGTAATTTAGTGATGACTCCCCTTCTCTAGTATCTCGTTCTTTGTCTTGAATAGGTAGATAGATAGAACGGCCTAGTGTTTCTACTTGTCAGAGTGTTTTGAGGTTAGATATAGATAGGCAAGTACAACCGAAAACAAAATAATATATATTGCATTATAATTGCTTTCGTGAGATAGCAAATCAAGTTCAGATAAGCTAATTTACACTACTAGGGCCTGTAGAATGGGACTTCATGTTCTCTTCCTAGGATACAGTGATTCTTCGTGTTCTTGTTTTCTTATCCTCCAGTAACTCATCAACCAAATACAAATAGAGAGTAGATGTGATTCGTTGGTAGCTAATTTTTTGTTTTCATCAGCTTCAACAATTTCGCCAGAAGAAGGACAGCAAAGGTGGTAGTAGTCAGGGGAAATCCTCAAAGAAGTCCAGCAGTCCTGGGCAGCATGAATCTTATATGGATTCAGTATCAAACACTGCCAACTCAGCAGCATTGCCATTGGTTCTGGAACAGAAACCTGTATCTCAAATGGATTCCAATTTGGGAGTTTTAGATTCTTCAGTATCTCATTCTATTGAGAATTCAATGCCTCCATATATTGATATTGCAGCTGTTGATCCAATGTCAATTCCCATAAGAACTGAAACCTCGCCAACTGATAATGCCAATATGGATAATGGTGCGATGGAAGGTAATGAGACTAATATTGATATGTTGGCCCCTCCTGCCATAGTTGAGACCACAAGTTCAGTCGAAATGGAGAGCAGAAATACGGAAGCGGAGGAATCATTGCATACTCCTGATATGTCCTTGATTTGTGCAAGGGTAGATCAGGTAACAGATGTAGGTTGTGCTCTTCTTCTCTCAATAATAATATTTTCAACCTATGTTTCCTATTTTTCCTTTATTGGGGAAATCTGTTGGGCAGATTGGGGTAAGTAATGCATGGTTTTGATGTATAATTAAATTCTCATTTGTTGCTGGGTAGGGGCAATGCAGGAGGCTGATGGTTTGGGCTTGAAGCAATTTAGTGGAAACAATATCACAGAACTTGAGGGATATGGGAGACTGGCTTTGTCTGAGCGTGTTGATGATGCTGAAACTATAGAAAATGTAGCATCAGAACAGACTGCAACGGTATATACAGCCTCTCAACTCACGCAAAACGACAGGGCATTCGATGCATCTACTTGTGCTAGTGCTACAGACATCTCAGATGGGCTTTCCATATCTACTTTGCCTCTTTCAGAGGCAGATGGAACTTTTGGTGCTGTTCATGAAGTGGAAAATCAAGCAGTGGAAATCGTTAATGTGGTTCCATTCAATGTAGAAGATTCTGAGAATCTTTCTGGAAGTGATCGCCATGGAAAAAGTGAAGAAGGCAGTCAAGCTGATAGGAGTATGGAGGCATATAAGCAGCAATATATGCCTGAGGAGTCTTTTGTATTTGTGGGTAAAAGCCATGAAGAGCCTCTGTTAACTAAATTGACAAATTCAGATGACGGCTTTATTTCGTCCTCTTTTCATGATGTGTGCCAGGTTAGCTTCTCTCAGCTCATTGATGTGATAAAGGGGCTTAATGAGGATGAGTATAAGTTGCTGCTTATGTCAAGAGGATTGCCTGATAGTTTTATTCCACTGCCGCATGGTCTTCCTGCTTTAATGGAGAGACTCAATGAAGAATTATTCCTCACAAGTTGTACAAAGGATATCCTGCACTCGCAACTCATTGAACAGGCAGATCTGCAAACAGAATATGACAACCAGTTTCACCAATTCCATGATGAAATCTCTGTGCTTCGTGCTTCACTCAACGAAGCCCATGAGAGGTGCAACTCCCTCACCAATGAGCTTGTGGAATGCAGATCTGAACTCCTGGCTACTGCAAGCCAAAGGGAGGAGCTCCAAATCCAGTTTGATGCAGCAAAGGCCGAGGTTGAGGATGTTTCTGCCCGAGCAAAAGATTTGCAGAGCAGTCTGGAAGGGTCACAGTTGGATTTATCTAGCCTGTCAAATGAGTTAGTTGACTCTAAGAATCTGATGGGGGCATTACATGCAGAAAAGGAGAATTTAAATCAGACAATTGATTTGCTGACTGAGGAGAGAAAGAAACTTGTGGAGGAAAAAAATATTTGTGCACAACATTATGAGAAACTATTGGAGGAATTAGCTGGCTGCAAGAATTTAGTTTCAGCCTTACAGGTGGAGAACTGCAACTTAAGTGAGGTTCTTGCTTCAGTGACAGATAAGAGTAAGAGACTTGAAGAGGAGAAGGACTGTCTTGCCAATGGGAATGAAAAGCTATCTATGGATTTGTCTAATTTTAAGGGTTTGATGGAAGCTCTACAGGTGGAAAATGCTAACTTAAGGGGAGACCTTACTGTGATATCAGAGGACAGAAAGAAACTTGAAGAGGAGAAAGAGCATTCATTTCATGAGATGGAGAGACTTTCATCTGAGCTTCTTGGTCTTCATGAAAAGTTATCTAAAGATTATGGGCAACGGGAACTGTTGGAGGTGGAGCTAAAAGAAGTGACAATGCGTCTTGAACAGCTAATGGAGGAAAACATATTTCTGCAAAGCAGTTTAGAGTTACATAAAGCTAGGATGGAAGAAATTGACCACAGGCTAGCTCAAGGACTATCTCGAGTTGGCGAGGCTCCTAATCAGGTTGGAAGTTTGAACGTATGGAACAGGAGCTGTGACAATGAAGCTGTTGATGAGCAGTCTCACCAAACGCCTGGAAACCAAGTTTCAGATGGCCTTTCATTGGGGCAGCCACGTGAGCCATTTGAGGTGGAACCCTTTGATGATTCTTTGGGGTTTGTTGTCTTGAAAGGACACTTGGAGGAGGCAGAGAAAATTTTGCAAAAACTTGGAAAGGAAATTGAAGGGATGCATTCTCATGCGAGATTCTTGAGTAGATGTGATAGTAAATTGGCAGTTCCAGCAGTATCAAAACTGATTCAGGCTTTTGAGTTGAAGGCACAACAAGATGAACAAGAGGCAGAGGACAGGGCCACGACGGAGGAACAATCAATAGCAGCAGATCTATTTTCATTAACAAGGGAGCATACAGCAGATTTGAAAGCAATGCTTAAGCAGTTAGCCTTGGATTCTGTGAATGCCAGTTTATTATTCAAGGCAGAGCGAGATGGTAGAAATGCTGCCAATCTCACAATGAAGGAGCTCAAGTTTCAGTTTGAAACCATGAAGGAACACACTAATAATTTAGAGGCAAGCAACATTGAGCTAGGGGTTCTTTATGAATGTGTAAAGCAACACTTTTCTGTTCTTGAAGAAAAGAACCGAGACCTTGAGGATCTTTGTGAAATCTTAAAGCAACAAAACAGTAGTCTTAAAGCAGAAAATAGTGAGCTCTGTGAAAAATTGTCTGAGAGCGAATCAAAAATTCATGAATTGCAGAGTCAATTGGTTGATTTACAGAAAAATTCGGATGAGCTGGCTTCTGCACTTCGTGATCAATTGGAAAATTTCCAGAAGGAAGCGGTTGAAAAGGCATTGGCAGCTGAGCAGGAAAGAAATTCTACTGTCACTCAAATTCTTGAAGCAGTTGAGAAGCTTGATGATTCTACTGGATTTCGGATCAGCCATATCACTGTAACTGATGGTCATGCTCTGGTGGATATAAGTAGCCATGCAACTGCTTCTGTTAATGCAGCTATTAAAATCATTGAAGACCTGAAGGAGAAACTTGAAACGGCTCACTCAGACCATGAAGCAACCTTTAACTTATTCAAAGAAGTGAATGAGAAGTGCAATGAATTACTTGGAAAGAATGATTTGACCAGTGGCACATTACATAGATTGTATTGTGAGCTTAGGAAACTTGTGATAGATTCATGTGGTTCTCTGGGAGAAACTGGACTTGACATACATGAAGAGAAGCTACCCGATCCTGTAGATTACAGTGGATTCAAATCTGTTATGGCGCAATTGGAGAAATTTATGGCTGAGAGGCTGCAGCTTCAGTCTGTTAACAACAATCTTAATTTAGAGTTGATGAATAGAGCAAAAGATGCTGAAGAACTAAACAGAAGACATGTCGATCTAAGTTCCATTGAAAATTTAATTGAACAGGTTGAGGGTGTATTTAAACTGGAAGATGCTGAAATGGAATTAGAGGGAATGCCTTTTTCACGTCTGGAGTCATTGGTGTCTTTCCTTGTTCGTAAATGCAAGGAGGCTGATGAGCAAGTTAGCTCATCTACAGAAGAGTTTGTATCCAAGGTGGAGGAATCGAGGAAATTGCAGGAAAAGGTGCATCAATTAACTGCCTTGAAGCTTCAGCATGAAACTGAAATTGAAGATCTTAAGGGACACTTAAGCCAGGTTGAGGAGGCCCTTCATAAGAAGCAATCTGAATTACAGGAGAAGGTGAGTGAACTTGAACAATCCGAGCAAAGGGTATCTTCAATTAGAGAGAAGCTTAGTATTGCTGTTGCCAAGGGGAAAGGGTTGGTTGTGCAGCGTGACAGTCTCAAGCAATCTCTGTCAGAGACATCCACTGAATTGGAAAGGAGCTCACAAGAGTTACAGCTGAAAGATGCTATGCTGCATGAGCTAGAAACAAAATTGAAGACTTATTCTGAGGCTGGAGAACGTGTGGAGGCTCTGGAATCTGAACTTTCATACATTCGCAACTCTGCTACTGCATTAAGAGAATCATTCCTTCTCAAAGACTCGGTTCTTCAAAGGATAGAAGAGATTTTAGAAGATCTAGATCTGCCTGAGCATTTTCATTCAAGAGATATTATTGAGAAGGTTGATTGGTTGGCCAGGTCAGCAACTGGAAACTCTTTGCCACTGGCTGATTGGGACCAGAAGAGTTCTGTCGGTGGTTCATATTCTGATACTGGTTTTGTTGTCATGGATGCCTGGAAGGAGGATGTACAGCCAAGCTCAGGTTCAGGGGATGACTTAAGAAGGAAATATGAGGAGCTTCAAGGTAAATTTTATGGGTTGGCTGAACAAAATGAAATGCTGGAACAGTCTTTGATGGAAAGGAACCAGTTAGTGCAGAGATGGGAAGAGCTTTTGGACCGGATTAATATGCCCGCACACTTGCGATCTGTTGAACCAGAGGTTAAGATTGAGTGGTTGGGAAATGCACTTTTGGAGGTTAATCATGATAAAAATTCTCTGCTGGAGAACATTGAAAAACTTGAAAACCATTGTGAATCACTAACTGCAGATTTGGAACAGTCTGAAAAGAGAATATCTTGCCTAGATGCTGCGTTGGAGGAGTCCCAAAAGAGAATATCTGACCTTGAGATGGATATTGAGGCAGTTATCCATGAGAGAGAAAATCTTTCTGAAAGATTGGAGATTCTTAGCTGTGATCATGAGAAACTTTCAGCAAAGGCAGCCCAGTTTGGACTTGACAATGAAAAATTGCAGAATGAAGTTAGTGGCTTACAGGAGCAATTGGCTCAGAAGCTTGAGAACGAAGAGCATATTCAGAGAATTAATGGTGAGATATGCAGACTGCAAGATTTGATATATGATACATTAAAGGATCCTGGTACAAATGAATTGATTTCTGGCGGAGATAGTATTCAGTGTTTGGAAGGATTACTGAGGAAGCTTATAGAGAACTACATGGCTCTTTCTTTGGTGAAACCTCTACTTGGGGATGCAGATGAGAAGCAACATGCCGAAGAGGCTGGTGTAGATCTTGATGAAAGAACTAGAGATGTTCTGGATGATATGGAATCTGACAAAGCTCTTCTGAAGAGAGATCAAGTGGATGCTAATTCAGTGAACGCAGAAATTCTGAAGAAAAAGCTGGAGGAGGCTCTGAGCGAACTGGTATCTGTGAAGGAGGAAAGAGATGGATATAAGGAGAAGCAACAATCTTTGGTTTGTGAAGTTGAAGCACTTGAAAGAAAAAGGGAGAAGTTGCAAGAGCTACTTAATCTGGAGGAGCAGAAGTCAACTTCTGTAAGGGAGAAATTGAATGTTGCAGTTAGAAAAGGGAAGTCTTTGGTTCAACAGCGTGATGGTCTGAAACAAACTATTGAAGAGATGAATGCGGAATTGGCACACTTGCAGTCTGAGATTAAGCACCGGGAGAATGCTCTTACAGACTATGAACTCAAGACGAGAGATTTAGCTGCCTACTCTGGAAGGGCAGAAGCACTTGAAGCTGAGAGCTTGTTCATGAGGAATCGTTTGGCTGAAAATGATTGCATTCTGCAGGAGAAAGGACATACTCTAACTGTGATTTTGAATATCCTTGGAGGCATTGATGTTGGTGAAATTTATGACAGTGACCCAGTTAAGAAGTTGGAACACATTGGAAAACTCTACCATGATTTGCATGCTGCTGTGGCCTCTTTGCAGGAAGAGTCTAGAAAATCGAGAAGAGCAGCAGAGCTATTGCTTGCGGAACTGAATGAAGTTCAGGACAGGAATGATGGCCTCCAAGAGGAGCTAGCCAAGGTTACTGTTGAGCTTAGTCAACTCTCCAAGGATAGGGATGTAGCAGAGGCCGCCAAATTTGAAGCTCTTTCACGTCTCGAACAGTTATCCCTGGTCTGCACTGAGGAGAAAAGGAAAAAACACTCTGAAATTCTCTTGTTAAAATCTGCTGCAAACCAACTTGGGAAGAGCTTCTACGATATCAATGATTCACTAGCTCGTTTTTTCTCCGATGACTTGGAGTTTCTGCAAAATCTGGAGTCTGGCCTGAAGTCATGCCTTGATAGAGCAGAAGCTGATCTTGTGGTTCCTGGACCTTCTTTTAGTGCATATGGTGACATTACATCCAGCAATTCAGGAATTAAGGTATTATTGGTATTACTTTATCTTGTGTGGAACTCCCTCTTTCCCCCCTGACAATGAGGTTACACTTTTTTTACCAAAGTGATCCTTCCCTAGCCTCCTAAAGCAGGGAGCCTTGTGCATAGCGACATCCCTTTTCAGAAGTTGAGCTTTTTTCTAATCAGGGTTTTTTTGTTGATTGCATATGTTACTAACTCATGGGCTACACTGTTGCTTTTGTACATTTTTTTTCCCTATGCAACTTGCCATTTTCTCTCTCTAATTGGAGCTTTCCTTCACAGGGAAACTTTTCATCACAAATCAATTTGCCAGACCATTTGGATGATGATATTATCACAGAAGTTTTTAGTTCTTTAGAAGAATGCGTTAAAGAAGTTGATGCTGTTAAAATAATATTACATGAACACTCTGCTGCAGTTAATGAAAAAGCTAGCAGTCTATCCAAGTTAATGGGTTCCATTCATAGAGACAAGACTTCACAGAGAGAGTTGATTGAGACCATGAAGCAAGAAATTAAGCAAATAGAATCAGCTGAAAAACAAAAAGAAATCGAAATTGTTGTATTGCACAGAAACATTGCCTTGCTTTATGAAGCCTGCTCCAGTTCACTCATGGAAATTGAAAAAAGAAAAGCTGAAGTATTTGCAAATAATTCGCCTGTTGGAGATCTGGGTATGAACTTGAAATCTGTAGCATTTGGTGATGGTGTTCTTCCTTTCGGTGGAGAGAATAATGTATCATCTGAGGAGCATGTCAAGACTATGGCAGAAAAACTGTTATCGGTCGTGAAAGATTTTGCTAGCATAAAAGGGGAGATCATAGAGGGTAACAAGAAGGAAATGAAAATTACCATATCAAATTTGCAGAAGGAGCTTCAGGAGAAGGACATTCAAAGAGAGAGGATTTGCAAGGATCTGGTTAGTCAAATTAAGCAGGCTGAATCAGCTGCAGCAAGCTACTCCCTAGATCTTCAGTCTTCAAAATCTCACATGCATGATTTAGAGAGAAGGCTGGAAATTATGGAAGATGAGCGGAATTTATTGAGGCAGAAAGTCAAGGAACTTCAGGATAAGCAAACCATCACAACAGAATTACAAGAGGAAGTCAGATCTCTGACTGACAGAATCTCTGCCAAAGACCAGGGTCGGACCTTTTTTGACTTGTAAAATATCTATTTTAATTTTGGCTTAGATTTTGCAGAATAATAAATGCCATTTTTGTTGGTTACAGAAATTGAAGCCCTAATGCAAGCACTTGATGAGGAGGAGGTTCAGATGGAGGATTTAACAAAAAAGGTTGAGGAATTGGAAAAAGTTGTGCAGCAAAAGAATTTAGATATTGAAAATCTTGAGGCCTCTCGTGCCAAGGTTGTGAAAAAGCTTTCCATCACTGTAAATAAGTTTGATGAGCTTCATCATTTTTCTGAAAGTCTTGTTGCTGAGGTCGAAAAGCTTCAATCACAATTGCATGATCGTGATGGTGAGATTTCTTTCTTAAGGCAAGAGATTACTAGATGCACAAATGAGGCTCTTGTTGCATCTCAGACAAACAACAAGAGGAATTCAGATGACCTCTGTGAGTTATTGACATGGTTAGCGGCACTGATTTCTCTAGATGTCAACCTTGATGATACTAACCAGATAAATGAGAACAAAGAAATTATTCAGAAAAAGATCACATCTATTTTGTCCGAATTGGATGATCTACGTGTAGCAGCTCAAAGCAGGGATGCATTATTGCAAATAGAGAGGAGTAAAGTAGAGGATTTAACTCAGAGAGAAGAAAGTCTTGAGAAGTCTTTGCGTGAGAAGGAAATGCAATTAAACATGCTTGAAGTTGGTGGAGATGATCAGCCAAAGAGTACAAGATCTGAAATTTTGGAAGTTCAACCTGTGGTGGGTATTTTAATCCACACTCATTGCATGCAATATACATATGTGTTCAAAAAGGAAAATAGAACATGTACTTTTCACAGCGTGTTAGTCACAGTTTTAGTTACATATTTGCATATTAACTATTTTAATCGTTCTGATCCCAAAACTGAGTTTTATTAGCTGCAACCTCAAATTCGATAAACCATGTTTTTGTTGCAAGAATTTCTTATTTCCATGGACTTTCAATGTAGATATCCAAATGGACAGTGCCTGGGCCCTCCACTGCAACTCAAGTTCGCAGCTTGCGCAAAGCCAGTAATAATGATCAAGTTGCTATTGCTATTGATATGGATCATGGTAGCAGTAGTAGAGTAGAGGATGAAGATGATGAAAAAGGTAATTTTACACTGGATGCTTTTTTTTTTTTTCCTAACATTTTTATTCTTCAGCAAGTTCAGTTATACAATGACAACTTTGTGATCCGTTTCTCCCCTCCACTGCAGCTCATGGTTTCAGATCACTCACTTCATCAAGAATTGTTCCAAAATTTACTAGACCTGTAACTGACATGATTGATGGTTTGTGGTACGTAGTTTCTTTTTGTCATGCACTAATCCAAATATAACTTGGACATCTCAAAAATGGGCAAAATTAATCTTGTGCGTGCAAATTGACAGGGTTTCTTGTGATCGGACACTAATGCGACAGCCTGCCTTAAGGCTTGGTATTATGATCTATTGGGCTGTGTTACATGCATTGCTTGCTGCTTTTGTGGTTTGACAAGGCTAACTGGTCAGTGATTCTTCCTACTCATTTATGCTTTTGTTTTTGCCTGAAAATTTGTTTTACTTCAACCTCATGCAATGGCTATCAGTAGAATGAATAAAATTCTTGTGTTCAAGGTTATGGTTTCTCTGATCTGCAGGTTTCCACATATTTGGAGGACCAAGTCTAGTATTATACCCCCGATGGGTTTTGGGCCTGTATATACAGTGATTTTTGTTTTTCTTTTCACTTGTGGCCAGATTGATTTATTGTTTAGGTCAACCGGGCAACTGCGATTGCAATTTTATTCGTACAAATCTCAGATTGCTTGGTTGCATCCAATAAGAGGGGAAAAAAAAATATATATATAAATATTCTTGTTACCATTACACAGGGCGTAGTATCAGAATTACTTAAATTGAATTTGAACCATGTTTGTATCTTATTACTTTCGTCAGATCAGTGTTTCTTTATAAGATTAAAGGGTTCCTCTGTTGAAATTGAACACAGTAACATTGTTTTGTATGTATGGGCTGGTCTCTTGTATTATTCATTTAGTTGGCAGATTGTCTGAAGACAGAATAAATTTTGTACTTCAAAGTATACTGTGATTTTGAATAAACAATTAATGGAAATTGGCAGAAAGGATAATCTGAGTTTTAGCTTATGTAGTTTTCAAATGCTTGCCAACTTGTTAAGGAGAACATGCAATTAAAATAAATCTAGTTGTTATCAGAGCAAAAGCCAACTTGGTCGTCGAAGTCCTTGACATTTCCTCTAGGATTGTCTTGAAATCTTTGTATCCTGAAGTTCTTTATGTCCGCTTCTTTTGTCTCTCCGAAGATGGCCATGTCCGCTAACATCTTTCCGATAACTGGGGCCATCTTAAATCCATGACCCGAAAACCCACCACCAACCACCACATCCTTCCCAAACTCCCCTCCCAGAAAATCTATTACATAATCTTCATCTGGTGTCATAGAATACATGCACAACTGAGTAGCAACTGGCCCGCAGGAATCAACAAGCCCTGAGAATGTCCTCTCTATCCATTCCTTCAAATAACCCAACGACATACCGGGGCCCCACGGCCTTTTATCCGGATCACATGGGTATCCCCCGTGCACAGCTACCTTAATCAGACCCGGAAACTCCAACGACGGCGTTCCGTATATGTACGGCTGGCCGTAGCTAGCAAAAGTAGGAAAATCGCCTCCTATTGCAAAATCATCTTCATGACCTTCCTTGATCCGCCAATAACATATTGTTGTCTCCAGGGCTTGAATTGGCAAATGGAGCCCCGACACCGTTTTCACTATCTTGTTTATCCAAGCTCCGGCGGTGATCACACACTTCTTGCACCAAAATTTACCATTTCCAGTTAAAACCCACATTCCTCCCTTGACCTCATCTTTCACTACGTTCTTGACTTCCGTGTTGTCCCTTAAAGTAGCACCATATCTAAGAGCCAGCGTCTGGAACATAGACACTGCCTTCGTCGGTTTTATTACCCCGCCAAGCTCACTACATATTCCTATCCAATTCTCCGGCATGTTAATCCTACCGGAAAATTTCTCTCTCACTTGTTGGCGGTCAAGAACCTGATGGGGAAGAGAGTTTTTCTGGCATCCGGAGACGACAGAAAGGATAGCCTTATTATCCGATGGACCCAAATCGAACTGCTCGGCCTTGAAATAAACTCTGTAGCCGATTTCAGACTGGGCTTCTTCCCAAAGACGAGAGGAATGGATGGCCATGGCGGAGTAGTAATCCTCCGGGTAAGTCGCTCTTATCGTTCGCGACTCGCCGTGGGATGATCCCCGGTGGTGCAGGAAGTCAAACTGCTCTAATAGAAGAGTTTTTTGACCTCTTTTTGCTAGTTGATAGGCAGTGGAGCTGCCCATGATGCCAGCGCCCACAACTATCACGTCAAATTCATTGCCGGAGTACTCCATGTCTCTGAGTTTTACAGAATAGGAGATATGCTGTGGTAGATAGGATCCGAGTGAGCGACTGAAAGTGATGATAGAATGCGTCTTCCAGTTAACACTTTTTAGGCAGATACACGTTGTAAAGAGCCACAAGTTACGCTCAATATTTCACGTTTGCCACTTGGCTTGTTAATGTCAAACGTAAAAATATTTTCCTGCCTTCAATTTTTTTTCTTTAATTTAAACATTTAAAATTCAGGATGAATACTTATTAAACAATTTATTTTGAAAAAAATAGCATTTTACCTTTTAGCAGACCGATAGATAAGAATTAGTCTGAGATAAGTAGATTATAGACGTAGTTGATACTTGATAAGGAAAGAAAATGTGTCGGTTTTCATGATTAAATCTCGAAAATCGTAAATGATCAGATGATTTTTCATTTGAAAAAATATGAGTGATAAATTGAAAAGACTTACCTATATTTATCGTATATATATGTCTCACAATATATCAGAGTAATAAAAATAATTTTATTTTTCAAACAAGAGCATTCACAATAATTCATTTAGAAAATATAATAAAACATTAATAATTTTTTAAAATAATCATTTTTTTAATTGGTTGGTACGCGTAGATAATTCACACATCAACTGTATGCAAGTCTGATCTGCCAGCCTGCCAGGTCGGTACGCGGTGGTTGCGGTGTCCACTTTGCATGATAAGCTGTAACGTGCGGTGATTTTGTATTTTTGCTGCTTACAGTATGTATGTATGTTTACTGAATCTTTTCAGTATTGGTGGAATCTCATGGTATCACATTATTATTGGTGTTGTCCATTACTGAGTGGATCACGTGAATCACGAGTATTCACTTGTCTTGATCACTTTTATTTTGTAAAGCAAAATTTTAATTTAATTTAATGGTAATAATGGCTAAATCCCTTAATTAGTGATTGATGTATGCATGCACTGACTTTTTTTTTTTTTTTTAATTTACCAGAAAAGGTCAAAAAAGTCTGATTTTAATATGAAAAGATTAGAAATTGAATATTTTTCTCATCCCTTAGAGAGAGAATTATATTCTGATTTTATTTCATATATTTTAATAGTAAATTTTTTGAATGGTACATTATTTGTTACTTTGTCAACTTTAAGCAGTGAAATTAATATCCATTGATTTAAGCTTAGTGGAGAATAATTTTTTTTAAAAAAAAAATTAATTTGATTAATTTAATCATAGAAAATGATTAGCTGCCATCACACCATTAATTAATCCAAAAAAGAGAGAAAGTTAAAAGGTGGGAAAAAAATGTGAGAGAGAGGTCACTTCCATGGAATCTGATTTGATTCCACAAACAGGTATCTTTCTTTAGAAAAGTCCATTAAGATCCAGGTCAGACTTTTAAAGCTGCAATTAATTCGAACCACTAGTGTGTATATATATATATATGGTAAGTGATGTTACTCCACTATGTAAAGCAAAGAATAAAGCTTCCCAACGCCGTGTCTCAGTCCACTACTACTACACATTTTGCACGTGTGGTGTTGGCAGTAAAATAAAAACCCTCAACTAATTTTTTCTTTTAAATAAAGCATGTTGAATTCATAAGAGTATCAGCTGGAATAGCTCAGTTGGTTAGAGCGTGTGGCTGTTAACCACAAGGTCGGAGGTTCAAGCCCTCCTTCTAGCGGAAATGAGTTATTACATTTTTGAAACCTAACAACCATGGAAAGAGAAAATCAGATGAAGGAACAAAAGACTCTAAATATCTCATCTTCTATTTGTGAAAGTGTAGAGGCTTAAAAATGGAAAAAAAACAAAATTGCAGTAGCTGCATATTAAATCTTCTTGTTAGGCTCAAAAACATACTTAATTATTGAATCTTTAATTGACAACATATCAGGAAACTCTTTCTTCAACTTTGTAGCATCCAGTTCATTGTTACTCCTTGGTGCTATTATCACTTTAGCCTGCTCTTCCAAGTTGAAGTTTACCCATTTAAATTCAGGGTCTATGTAACTTTTGTACATTTCTAAAATTTGATTATGGCTTATGGCACCTGGATTGGTGAAGTTCCATATTCCTCTAAAATTTCTTTTTGCCATCTCAATTGAGATTGGTAAGAGCTCATCCAACACTGTCATACTGTTAGGTATATTTACAACCTTATTGTATTGGCTGATCTTCGTGATGAAGTTTCTCGGATTCCTAAGATCAGATGATATCGGCATTCGAACTCTCAAAGTGCATACATTTTCGTATTCTTTTAAAAGCTCTTCTACCTGCATCATTTTCAGTTAATGCCATTGCTATGCTAACATATAGAATTTTCTAGGTTGATAATCATTAATGTCGAGCAAGTATTTGAATTACCATGGCTTTAGTCTTGGAATAGAAGGAACCTGTAAAGTTTGGCTTGTCTTCTTCTTTGAATCCAATACCTGAACCTTCTGGATGCTCTTTATCATACTCAAATATGCAGCCAGTTGCGAAATTCATCATCAATAAGTTGTTTTCTCTGCAAACATCGGCCAAAGTTAGTGTACCTACGACATTAGTCCTAATCGTTTCTGTCTTATGCGACTCACACCAATCGACATTGGGCCTTCCAGTAACACCAGCAGCATTAAACACATGGGTTGGCCTTACTCTCATTACATCTTCCATTATCGACCTCCTATCTTCTAACCTTCCTGCACCATACTCGAATTTTATCCCCTCATTTTCGCAGAGCTTCCCCAATAACCCCCCTATCCAACCAGTCCTTCCATATATTAACAACTTCAGTCCTGAGCAGTTATTATCAGTATCACTTATAAATCCATTCTCCAAAAGCCATGCATCATCATCAGAATGAACTACCAATGAGACACGAGGATGTGGACGGAGAGCAGCAGATACATCACCCCACCAATTTGGGTTCTTGGTGTACCATTCTATTGTCATCTTTAGCCCTTCTTCCCAGGGTGTTCTTTCCCGCCACCCAAGCTTAATGAGCTTTTGATCATCTAAGAAATATCTCTGGTCATTGAAAGGCCTATCTTGAACAAAACTTATGGATTTTGTAGCATCCAGTCCAAACAGCTTGCATATATCCTGGGCAACATCTAGAACTCGTCTCTCCTTCTTAGTCCCGATATTATATACATGTCCAATCACCCCTTTGTGAAGGATCACATCAAATGCCTCTGCAACATCGTCACAATGTAAATAGCTTCTCACATTTGAGCCATTACCATGGACAGGCAACTGCTCGCCTTTCATGGCGAGGAGAATGAGTTTGGGGATAAGCTTTTCCGGGTATTGGTTAGGACCATATACATTATTGCCTCTAGTTGTAATTAAAGGAAGGCCATAAGATCGATGGTAAGCCATTACAAGCATTTCAGCCCCAGCTTTTGTGGCAGAGTAAGGATTTGTAGGAAGAAGCTGAGATGCCTCAGGATTGCCAATATCAGTCTCCATGTCAGTTTCACCATAAACTTCATCGGTACTAACGTGAATGAACCTTCTTACTAGCTTGGTAACCTTGCAGGCTTCAAGGAGCACGTGACTACCATAAATATTGTTGGTAGTGAATTCAAAGGAGTTCCCAAAAGAATTATCCACATGGGTTTGAGCAGCAAAGTGCATAATCGTATCAATATCTTCAGCAATCAACAGGTGGTTTACAAGATCCGCGCTAGCAATATCACCCTTAACAAATTTGAAGTTTGGAGAGGATCGAGAGGGATTAAGGTTCTTGAGATTAGAGCAATAATCTAACTTGTCAAGGGCAACAATTTTGTAGTTAGGATAGTTTGTCATCAACCTGTTGGTCACATGGGAAGCTATGAAACCGGCTGAACCAGTAATGAGGATCCTCTTTGGTGCATATTGAGCAGGATCAGAACCCATGTTTTTTTATATATGTATGTATATCAGAACATTAATTGTCACTGTATCAAATATGATTTACCAAAAAGATTAGAAATCCTGAACTTTAGGAAACCTAAAGCATGCTTATTTTAAGCAATTAGATTCACTAATTAGCTTTTACAACTACCAAAAGTTTAAACAACAAAGCACAGCATATTAAAAGATCAAACAACAAAATGTGTTTTTCTAGAGTATGATCAAAATTTAATTGCCATAAATGGTGAAAGTATACTTGTGAACAATACTGTACAATGCATAATCAATAAATTAAGAGAAGAACAAGATACTAGTAACTGACTGTAAGAGATTAGCAGACTTACAAGTGGTGTAAGAATAGTTTCAGATAGAGTGTCGATGGAGCGGAGAGGAGAGAGGAGAGAATAGCTGTTGGTCTGTAATCAGGCTGTGGATTTGGGTTAGAGAAACCAAAAATCAAAAAGCGGAGAGATCGTAGGTTGTTAGAGATTAAGGAGGTCTCTGACTCTGTACTAGCCTCAAATTGAGGACACATATAACGTGTTTCATTTCCCCTTTTATTTGGAACTAGCAGTTGAACCCCTCTTTGCAGCCATTTATAGTTTTGGTTAATCGATTACCTTGATCTAAAAAATTAATTAATAAACAAACCAGATAAAGAAAGCCATCTTGGGTCATTTTTAAGAGAAAAGAAAGCCATAATAGCACATACACAAATCCGTATGGTCCACTAACAAGTTACAGCAAGAACTTTATTATATATATCCTATACTATAGCAGCTTGGTGCTGGAGACAAAGACAGACTGAATTAATTTACTAATTAAGTTGTTTTCGAAGTTTATTTGTAAAAAGTTGCTAAACCTTTTGAATTACAATTTGTATGCCATGCTGAGGCTCCACGAGCATTCTAAAAGCAGGAGAGTGTTGATAATTGGGAGATAAAGAGAAAGTAAACTTGGACACAATCAGAGACAGAACAATCTTCAACTGGATCATAGCAAAGTTTCTGCCTAAGCACAAGCGAGTCCCAACGCCAAATGGGATATAAGCATGTCCAAATTTGCAAGCTTTAGAGATACCATCTGCAAATCTTTCTGGTCTAAACTCATTAACGTCTGGTCCCCATAAAATAGGATCTCGATGCAAGGTCGGTATTAATGTCCATATGCATACACCTTTTGGAATACTGATTTTGCCGATTTGAACTTGTTCTAGTGCCTCCCTTGACACAAATGCTGCTGGTGGGTATAGCCTCAATGTCTCTTGAATCAACATAGTCAACTGTAAATGCATAATAAACGTTATTAAATATACTATAATGAGTTTTGGCTCAATGATACTGTAAATATGAACCCAGAAAGAAGGAAAGATGAATCCTTTTGTACCGTTTTCAAGTTGGATATCGAATTTTTATCTAGACCATCACTGCAGAATTGATTGACCTCTTGTCGGATACGAGATTGCCATTCTGGATATAAAGCGAGAAGCATCAAGCACCAGGAGGCAGCAGTAGCAGTAGATTCATGACCTGCAAAGTACATGTTCTTGCAATTATCAACTATGAAACTCTTTGCTGAAAATTTGCTACTATTGCTATCATTAACTGACTCCTCAAGTAACCGGTGCATTAAGTCCTTCTCGATATAACTTTTCTCTGAGCATTGTTTTTCTCGTTCTTTCACTGTGTCCCAAATTAACGAATCTATCTCTTTTTCCAAGCTGCTGAGCCGTTTTCGCTTCTTACTTGCAAAGAACCTGTCACATTTTGTCCATTGCATTAGTAGCTGTTACAGTATTAACCAAATAAATGTTTCATTAAAGATTTGGCTTGAGTACCCAAAATCTGTGACACTAAAAGGAGAGCTTTCGTTGCTAAGAAGTTGTTGGAGGGTTCTAAGCTTAGAGAAGATCTGTTTTCCTTGGGAATAAGAACTCCCAAAACAAGCTCTTGCAATAACATTAGCTGAAAGCTCTCTTAAGTCCTCGTCAACTCTAATATCTACTGGGGAACCATCTTCAGCTTCAACAAACTCCTCCCATTTTCTCAACATTGGTTGTGCCGACTCCACCATCAACCCCACCATACCCTACCAGTGAAGTGGCAATTTAATCCACAGCAAGAAAATACATAATTGGATGTAAATAAACTATGAAAAATGAGCATCGACCGAAGTGTTACATTGACTTTATCCTTGAAAAACTCTGGAGCAATGATTTTGCGCTGTTGAGCCCAAAGGTGGCCATTGGACCTTATAACACCATTACCGAGCATAGGTTGGAGCCTTTTGGTCATATAAGTTGGCTTCCCCAAGTCCAAACTAATGGACTGGTTCATTTCCTTCACCATTTCTGGGTCGTTAATATACAAATGCTGCTTCAACCCGGTTGAATACGTGTATATTAGACCTGCATGAATATATAAGATTAATATTTTTTTTTTCTTCATATAATTCACCGACCTACCTAATAAAAAAATATATATACGTAAGCGCAGAGCAGAATTAAAGCTCAAATCCCTAAAGTTTGAGTGTATTGTTTGATTGGCCAAATTTAAAAATTAATAAAAGGGGTGTGACTTTTCCTCAACCTGGAAAGCGTGAGGATCTTAAAGTAATCAAATTAAAATAATCAACAAATAATTAATTATTTATATGATAATGATTTTTTTTTGTACGAATATATCTAACGTTATACGATTAAAATCTAATTTGGACACGAATGACAGAACAAGTTGCTTCAATTTGAAGCTTCGACAACCTGCATATCAATATTATATTTTATACATATATATTATTTAGTGACCTTTTTTAGTAGTTGGTTGGTTCCGTAAACTAATTATTGAGTGAAAGCAAAGCTCATCGTTTATGCTTTTTGGCACACAGGTTTTTCTTCTAAAATTTTATTTTCTTAATTAATTATATATATTTTGTAATTAAACATATGTGGAATACGAATAAACCAAAAGTAAATCATGTATTATTTTTTATAAAAATCGTTTAGTTGGGTGATTTACTAATTTAATATACCATTATTTGCAATAGAGGTAAAAAGAATATAATGAAGAAATTAAACTCACTTGCTTTCTCTGTGTGCATGTACGTAGAAACAATATAATCACGACGAACTGTTTTGAAACAACATATAGATATATAGCTGAAGAGATGGATATATATATATATATATATATTAATTAATTAGTTAATTTTGAAGTAATAAAATTACCGTATTGTTTTCTCCAGTGCTCGAAATATGGGAAGATGGAGGAAGCATAGTCATGAGCTACAATATTAGCATGATTGCGAGAGCTGATAGCCATGGATTGTATTTGTTGCATTTCTGAGAGATTTCCACAGAGAAAGGAAGGAGTAGGCCCTTTTATACCTTGCACACGAAGCTTCCTCTTCACCTTCTGGGACCTAAGCAAGGTTGTCTTATACAGATGAATGATAAACCAAACAAGTCCTGAAATGAATAGCCAGCACACGATTTCCAGCAGAACAGAGACCTCCATCTTCTTCTTCTTCTTCGTCTCTCTGTTTATTTCTTGTCCCTTGGACAGTATTATTGGAGGTTTCTTTTGAACTAATTTGTACTTTATGGTTCTAGTGGCCGCTTGCCATATTATTTATAGGGAGTAAATAAATATCGACGTGTCAGTACTACGCTATGAAATTAATATAAAATTCTTATTTGATGCAGTGATTACAGTTCATAAATTAATTGATTTGTGTGGATGTATACGTACGCGTGGAGCGAATATAATACAAGTATTAATCTACAAAATAATTTTTTTTTATTAATTTATAAATGAATTGTCTTTTTCAGTCTCTAATATGAAGGTGATCTTGGAGCTGAGATCACTGTCATTGTAATCCGGAACGAAGTCGTGGGCTGCTTGACTACAATAGATGGTGATCGTGACCGGCTGTTAGGTTAGCTTTGAGCACTGGTCATACGTCGGCAATGTCATCTACAATGTACCATTGAAATGTCTCTATCTGAAGGGAAGGCCCAACCATGATTTACTCATTCTCTGGATTTTAGACCCATTGGGCCAAAATGGGCTTAGCACTACGACTGATTTAAAGTGCAGATGGGATTGGAATTAGAGCAATGGGTTTGATCTGGATTTCTACTCATTGATTTTGAATCAGAACCGGTTAGAATGCGTCAAAATTTCTGATCTTGATGATGGTTTAAGTGAAAATAAAAAAAAAAAAAAAGATCAAAAATGTTATTGAAAAATCTAGAAAGAAGACAACGGGTCAAAACTGAAAATGAAATTAAGAAGATCAATCATAGTTTCAATTTCAAGTCTAATCGGTTCAATCAAAACCTTTGATTCAGTGAACCAACCATCCCGCTATATGTAGACCAAATTATACAATTCATTTATTTTTAAAATTTGGTCATATCTCATTTGTCTGTGTGTTTAGCCGTCTTGCCTTTGTCATTGCCTTCCATTTTTCAGTAACATTCATTGACTTTGAAAGAAAAGACCATAAGTATATCTGGAATTTGTCGATGGGAAGAGTACATTATTTATAACAATGTCGACAAAACGTTTTGCCAAATATGCAAATCTGCAAGTTTATGTCCTCACTCCTCTGTGTTAGACGTTTACTGTAACTTATATGAAAAAAAGATAAAACTGGCTTTTCTTTTTTTGTTCTTTTTTCTATATATTGAAAAAGAGAAAAAAACTTTACTGTGTTTGAACCTATCTTCCAGGATTCCCTCTCCTCCGTTCTTTTTGATCATGAGAATATATGATCTCCTGTTTAAATTAGAGAGATCAACCTGGTAGGTTTAAGCCTTGTAAACTGTAAAGTATATAGATTTTTTGCAGTCGCAGCGAAGTGCGCTTATGAGGACAGAGATCAACCATTTATATAGAAATTGTAACCTAAAGCATGCCTTTCCACTTCACTCCTCACTTCACGACTCTGACCAAAAATGTGAACTGGTATTATATAGAAATTGTAACTTAGTGAAATGAACATGAATCATTCCATATAGGAGCCAGCAAACGAACAGAGCCTTGGCTGTAATGCATAATTTCAGTTAAAAAAAAAAAAACAGCGAGATAATACGTATTCGATTGTCACGTGCATTGTCAGATCGTTTTTGCTTTTATTTTTGATTTTTGAATCAAAAGATGTGATTGACATGTTCATGTATTAAAGTCTCATTAATTTGCTATCGCTGCATACCCAAAAAATCCATTATTATTTATTTATTTAATAATTTAAGCAAAAGACATATATATACATGATGCATCAGTTTACATATACACAGATATAAAATGTACTTTGATTTCGAGGATTTAAAAAAAAAAAACAAAAAATTAATATTTTGTAGAAAGGTTTTTCTTTTATTGGCTTCTACCAGTACACGGGTTGTTGGAAAGAAACTTCCGTTATTCAATACTTCGACTGCAATAATAAATTCCTAAATCCTAAATTAAAACAAAGGCGCCATTTTTGCATCCTTTGGCTTATAAAAAGGCTTCTATTCTCTCATGAAGGAGGCCACAAAAAAATTTCACCAACTAAGTAACCTCTTCAATCTTGAAGAAAATCAAAATGGCCTTATCACATGTCGTTATATTTCCTTTCATGGCTCAAGGGCACGCTCTTCCATTACTCGACCTGTCAAAAGCTCTCTCCAGCCAACAAATCACAGTAACCATTATTACAACTCCAGGAAATGCTAAATCAATCTCAGACTGCATTCATTCTTATCCCAATATCTCTTTCCTTGAAATTCCATTTCCTGCCATTGATGGCGTCCCTGAAGGCTGTGAAAACACCTCGCAGCTCCCATCCATGGAGTTCCACCTTCCTTTTCTCCAAGCCACCAAACAACTCCAAAACCCATTTCAAAACATTCTTCAAAGCATGATGAAATCGCAAAACCCTCCGATATGTGTTATTTCGGATTTCTTTCTTGGATGGACACTTGCTGTATGCAAAGCACTTGGTGTTCCAAGATTAGTTTTCCATGGTATGGGTGTTTTATCTATGGCTATTAGCAAGTCTGTTTGGGTACATCAACCACAGTTAAAGGCAAAGTCTGTTTTTGATGATTTAGACTTGCCTGGTATGAAGCTTCCATTCACTCTGACAAGTTCAGATTTGCCTGACACAATTAACACGCAAAATCACGACGATCCTTTATCTAAGTTCATAGAAGAGGTAGGCGAGGCCGATGTTAATAGTTCGGGAATCGTTTGTAATACTTTTGAAGAGTTAGAAAGGAGTCATATCCCATGTTTTGAATCTTTCTACAGTGGATCAGCAAAAGCTTGGTGTGTAGGTCCTCTTCTTTTATACGACAAAATGGAAGATCTTGATATTCACAAAAACAATTCATCTGTTTCTATAATGCAGTGGCTTACTGAGCAAATTACTCCAAATTCAGTAATATATGTTTCTTTTGGTACACAAGCTGACTTATCAGATGCTCAGCTGGATGAGGTTGCTTTTGGTTTGGAAGAGTCAGGATTTCCTTTTGTTTGGGCGGTTCGTTCAAAGACATGGTGTTTACCTAAAGATATAGAGGAGAAGATAAAAGGCAGAGGTTTGGTAATTAAAGAATGGGTCGATCAACGGCGAATATTACTTCATCGTGCAATCGGAGGGTTTTTGAGTCATTGCGGTTGGAATTCAGTGTTAGAGAGTGTATCAGCAGGCGTGCCGATTCTTGCTTGGCCAATGATTGCAGAGCAATCTTTGAATGCGAAACTTATAGCGGATGGACTTGGAGCTGGGATTAATGTCAAAAAAGAAGCTGCAGGGGCTGTCGTTTCGCGGGAAGCCATATGTGACGGAGTGAGAGAGCTGATGGGAGGAGAAAAGGGAAGGAATGCAAGAGAAAGAGCAGAAGCCTTAGGGCGGGAGGCTAGGCGTGCTGTGCAGGAAGGTGGCTCGTCTCACCGTACCCTACAGAAGATGATCGGTCAACTTAAGAATCCCAGTTAATTAATTAAGCCTCATAGTCATATTTACAGAATCATTATATACAATAAAGGAGAATCAGATTTTTTTTTTTTTTTGTATTTTAGTATTTATATTTAACTAATTGGAGGAAAAAGTTGTAAATTTTTGAAGAAAAAAAATATGTTTTTCATTAAAAATTCTCTTTTATTATATATAATGATATGTTTTTTCTATTATTGACCATATATAACTATTAATTTAACATTTTTTTTCCTTTGCATGAATAATTTATTCATTAGTTAGAATAAAAATTTTCAATTTTTACATAATACATTTGGATTATACTGCCTATGCACTTTAAATTTTAATAATTTATTTAATACATATTTTATAACTCAAAATTAAATATGGAAGGGCTAGGCGTGCTGGTGCAGGGAAGGTTTGGGCTCGTCTGCAAACCGTGTAACCTTACAGAAGAATGATCGGTGCAACTTAAGAAATCGCAGGTTAATTATATTTAATGCCTCAAATAGTTTCATATTTACAAGAATCATTATAAACAATAAAGGCAGAATCATGATATTTTTTTTTTGTTCGTTTGTATTTTAGTATTTATATTTTTAACTGAATTGGAGGGAGAAAAGTTCGATAAATTTTTGAAGAAAAATATGTTTTTCATTAAAAATTCTCTTTTTAATTATTATAATGATTGTCTTTCTTTCTCATTATTGACATAGTAACTACTATTAATTTAACATCTTTTTTCGCTTTGCATGAACTAATTTATTCATAGTTAGAATAAATAATCATTTTTACATCCTAGCATTTTGGATTATACTGCCTATCGCATCTTTTAAATTTTAATGAATTTTTTATTTAATACATATTTCATAAACACTCGCAAAAATTAAATAATATTGATAGGCAGCCGGTACGGTAAATTACGCTAGACAAGCTACTATATGATAATTCCTACTGTTTTCTCTAAAGGGTGTCCAAGCAGATGCAGGAAGAGTTGGGCTGGACTGAATACATGTACAGGAAGGAAATTTATTCTCTGCCTGCACCTTGCTGCGGTCTAATGTGTAATTCTTTATACTCAGAGTCAATTGCTTGTTATCATTCAATTCGTCTTCACAAATAACCTAACCGATTATTATTATTATTGATTCGATTATATTAATGTCAAGAGAAAAATGAAGTTAATCATTAATAGACCAATTGTTGTAGTATTAAAGATACATTAAATTAATATTGAGCAAAAATCCATTTTATTACTTTAGATATCTATATTTATCGATTTATGTGAGCCGCATTAACTGGGTTTTTAATTTGGTAAGATGCTATAATTTTGAGTCCGGGCCAATCAAACCATTTATAAATTAACTTTTTTTTCTAAATTTTATTTTATTTTGCAAAATATATTAATTAGTCCTCTAATATTGTAAAATCCAATTATTTTTCAATTTTTGCTTTTCCCCCAAACGCTGAGACACGAGGATGATGCTAAGCTCTTTTCGTCAAAAAAAAAAAATAGAAGAAGACGAAAGAAACAGACAGTTTTTTTACAGTTAGGTCCCATAATTGAGGGTTTATAGTTAGCAGGTTCCGCCTGTAAAAAGCGTATGATTCAGCGTTTGGGCTGGGCCACTGAGGCCTTAACGGGTAAATGGTGTCTTTTGATTGGGGGCATCAAACAATAGGAAAAATTTCATCTCACTCGATAAAATTTCAAAATCCCCTAAGGCAGAAAAAGGACAAAAAGACGAGAAGCAGCAAGACAGCTGCCTAAGGGTTTCTGCTCCTTCGTCTTCTGCAACTATCCTCTGGTAAAGATCTCCTCCCTAATATTACCTCTTTCACATGCTTGTTTGACTGTAACACATGTCATTTTTTTTATACAAATTTCACAGTTCGATCTTCGGAGCATATATATCGGTATGAGATTTAAGTCAGATACTCAGGAGTCATGGTGAATGAACTGTGGTCGTATTTTTCTGCGATCTTTCTTAGTATGAAGGCAAGAGGGGCGGACGTTCTGTTATAGTATTAACTGCACATTAAGTTTTTGGTTTAAGATAGTGTTGGCAATAACATGAAGTTGTTTAATATTATTCACCATTAATGGTGTGTTTTTTTTTCGTTGATGATAATTATTATGATTAGGCCCTGAAGCATCTTCTGTTGTACTATCAAAAGTTTGGGGGAATTTTCTGGTGAAAGACAAGTGTGCTTTTGTATTTTAAAAAGGTTTAACGTGCAAGCTTTGTTATTAGTTAGGGGGCGAGACTGAATGTATTAGGGTCAGAAGATATTGAAGCTCATTTGTGGTTTTGTACTTTTTTTTTTTTTCTAATTTTTAAACTTTTTTGACAGGTAATTATTGGCACCGATGTCTGCCGTGTGTATTTGGTAATGCTGGGATGCCCCGTGTTACTGGAGCGGGAACTTGAAGAATGAAATTTCGGTAGATTGGAGTCATGAAGAAGGTTTAGCGTGTTTCAGCTTCTTTTCTTTTTTGAGGGTGTCAACTATATTTTTTAGTTATTTGTGTTTTATTCTGGCTGACATCATCTCCTGCAGTAGAAACGTGCCTTTTGAGCTGTGAAAATCTCCGAGGCTGGGCATTGTGGATCTGAGCATTCTTTGCTTGTATAATGCCCGTTTGATAAGTTCTG